GGTTTCAGGTAGCTGATAATTTACAGTAACTTTTCATAATATAATAGTACAATCAAAAGCAACTGAAAAATGTAGGGCTATTTACCTGTATAATTCAAAGGACTAACATTGCAGTGTTTTTATGATTTTCTGATTACAGACAGCTGTTACTTCCAAATGATGACAGTTTACCTATACTGCTCCCTTTTTTTTACTGTAGAGGAGGAGGAAAGAAACCACTTGTTTGTGAAACAAAAGCTATGCATCCAAGATGGCTCTTTCCTTCCAATTTTTGAGGCTGTACCTCAGAACCTTAGATTAACAGGAATCTCACTCCAGCCTGGACTACAGAGCCCCGTCTCAAAACCAAAACCAAAACCCAGGAATCTGACCTTTTGGTGAGTAGCAAATGATTGTGTGTACTGATGAACTTATCACCACTTAGGTTAATTTTTTTTTTTTTTTTGGAAACAGTTAACACCAAATGAAAGGGTCTATTTACCCAAGCTCTTGGTTCATGAACACAAAATAACAGCAAACTTTAGGCTCACCATATGGATATATGCCTACAAGTAAATACAGTAACTTTAAATACAAGATATATTTTACAAAATAAGAGCAGGGAATTTATTTTCCAATCTGTTCATATGAAACTCCTTCCACAGGAGTAGAAGGTGTCATCTCAGAAGGAAAAAGTCTAGAAATGTCTTTGGCAGGATTAAAATATAAAAATATAGCTATATAAAACTTAAGTGACGAGAGAAAAAACTAAAGGAGATAGGAGATTATTTTAACTTTATTACCTCATCTACTCATACAGGAGCTTTGCCAGATAAACATTATATTAACATTTCATCACTCCTGAATCAACAGTCATCACTTTGTCACATAACAGGTTCCCACTTGTTTTCAGATTTACATTTTAGATTCAAATGTTTATCTTAAGGCTAATGTACCCTAATAAGATGTAACATCAGTAACATTCAGAACATTTCTGAAAAAATAAAGACATATATCTGATTCAAGAATATTATCTTTCTACTATTTTTTAAAGTAACTCTCTTTTTTACTATTTTTTTAAGGTAACTGTAGTACACTTTTTAATTTACAATTAAAGCTTTGTTTCTCAATTACTGCACAGGTAAAATTCTAAGGAATTTTCAAGCACTGATTAACTTAGTATCTACAAAAATTTGGGCCACCAACTGGAGAGATGTGAGATGATTTTATTAGATCTGAGGGCAGAGCTAAGTGACACTGAATTAAACAAGAAGGGGCCAGGCATGGTGGCTCACACCTATAATCACAGCATTTTGAGAGGCAGAGGCGAGCGGATCACCTGAGGTCAGGAGTTTCACACCAGCCTGACCAACATGGTGAAACCCTGTCCCTAGTAAAAATATAAAAATTAGTCCGGTGTGATGGTGGGTGCCTGTAATCCCAGGTAATCAGGAGGCTGAGGCAGGAGAATAGCTTGAATCCGGGAGGCAGAGGTTGCAGTGAGCTGAGATCACTCCACTGCACTCCAGCCTGGGTGACGGAGCGAGACTCCATTTCATTTAAAAAAAAAAAAAAAAAAAAAAAAAGGAGGTTATTTCCTCTTCATTCTCTTTCAGTTCCTCTGACTGCGTCAAGAAGAAAGTCTCAGTTTGGTGCCAAGATGTTAACACCACTGAAATTCTTGCCAATCTCACTTTTAAACAAAGGGCAAGTTGAGGCTTAGAGCCTCCTGCAGGCAATAGTTTCTAGCTAGAAATTAAGAACACTTTGATTTTCATTATTTTTATGTATATGTCCACCTTCTGTTTATGATAAGTGCCACCTGCTTTTTACTGATAGTTATTTCAAGCTTCCTTTAAAATATTACTTTAATAATCACATTGATATAAATATTAATAAGTAAACAGGAAGTATACCAAACAGGAAGATATGGCCAAAATTCTAAAGATGATATCACAACGACTGAAGTTTAGGAAATATTACATTAATCCATTTGGTCAACAAATAAGTGTCGGCTATACGTTCGCCACTGGGTTAGCCACCACAAAGAATGGAGAAGAATGTTAAAAAAAAAAATGTGAACAGGAAAGTCAGAAGAGGAGGAAATTAATTCAAAATGAGGTAATCAAAAAAAAGGTTCACAGGGTAGGCATTTGAGCTAGGTCTTAAAAGACAGGTATAATTTAGACACTCAGAAACAGGAGGACATTCTGGGAGTAAAAGTATAACAATATGTGCCTGAGTGGTGGCATCTTCCAAATCTTGATTGTGGTGATAGTTACATGAGTGCATATATATCTACTAAAACTTACTGAAATGTACACTTAAATGAATGTACATCTGTGTATATAAATTTTTCCTTAATAAATCTGATACTGTATCATTGACCAATGCAATGAAAGGTCATTGAGATTAAAGGCTTGGATAGCTTGGAGAGGAGGAAGTAAATATGATAAATGAAAAAGGGAAACCTCCAATTAAAGACAAAGGGATCGTATTTTCACATAATTCTCAATAAAAACTGTTAGCTATTACACAAAAAATATTAGCTTAACATTTCTACTTAATAGTTTTATTTCAGGGAGATAATTTACCTGAAATAACACTTATCTGTTAAAATTACATGTTCTATTCCCACCTCTCTTATCCCCAAGCAAAACTGTGCATTAACAGCATTCCCGCTAAGAAAGTAACAAATAATGAACAGAATATCCACACTGGTTGGGTACTAGTGACACTTAACAGACTTTAGCAAAACAGTTTAAGATTGTGTTCAGCACACATCCTGTTTGTAAAGCAATTTAGAACTAACTGTCTCAGAATTTGTGTTTTAGCCTTTAGCTCTTTTCCATGATACAAGCTCTTAAAATGATGTAGTTATTACACAGTAAGCACATTTTGGGTGGCTTCTACCACAATTTCATTTTAGGAATTCATGACTATAAGGAGAAATCATCATAGCAAAAGTGATGCCATTATCAACAAGTCTTCACTTTTTGGAACTTTAAAATGCCATTTTGAATAAAATCAATAACTCCACTCCACCATAAAATAAAATTCAAAACATGAATTATAGTTAAAAAAAAAAAAAAAGTAACAAAAGCAGAATACGATAACTCTTCTGCCGATAATTAAAGCATTAAGACTCAGGGGAACTTAATTGTATTCTTAATATTTTACTAAGATAAATATAATTCTTTTTTTATACAAGTGAGTTGCCACTAGATCTTCATGCTCCAAAAAGCTTAAAATGACAGCCAAAAAATAAGCCTAATGCATGGACCTTTACAGTTGAAGAGAACTCAGCTCAAGTACAGCAGTTTTTAAATTTATATTCTATGTAATTATATTCTAAGAGTTGTTAACCAATTGGCCATGAGAAAATAGATCAGGTAAGTTTGGGAATGCTAGGATAACCTGGAGATTTACATGTATCAGCATAACAATAAAGGTTTTGAAGAGTCCTGCCTTTACAAGCAAAAAAGTTTAACCTAGCTTAACCTAGTGTGCTCCCAAGTTAATTGCCAACGAACACTGCTTTGGGGGAAGTAAGCCTATTAAATGGCTTTAGAACACTGTTCCGGGGGAAATACCAGTTTAGAAAACCCTGGTCTTTTCAAATTTCCTTAAACGATGACAAAACTGAAGTCCAGAGATCACACCTGGCTAGTAGCTGATTAAAGGACTTGAATCGAATCTCTTCATTCCTAGGCCAGAGCTCACTCCGTTACTTTAACTACAAAATAGGACTTCTTTGAAAGTATACAATCAAACATTTAACTGACAGCACGTACCTTAAAGATTTGGGTTATGGTGTCCCATTTTCTGGTTTGTGTATTAAATTGGGTGTTTTTAGTTCTTTCTTTCAGCACTGGGTCCCTAATAAGCCCACGTGGAGATTTGCTACTGCTTAACAATTACAGAGACTGATTTAGTTATCAGTTGTGGCCGAAAGTAATCACTAAAATAAAGCATTCAGACTACTCGTGGTTTTAATTTACTCATAACTTCAGTCGGCCCACCTAAATCACTGTTATCTATCAGGTGGTGAGTTACTTAGTACCTAATGCTGACATATGTTATTCACTGTAGACTATATTAATACCCAGAAACAAAATTAAAATGTAAGAACTTATGTCGGCATAGACGATGGCTAACAACATCAAAACAGATTTTTGTCTTTCTACAGTTCATGGCCTGTTAGACAAACAGTTTCCTACATTTTTGGTAATTATCATTTTTTTGACTGCTTTAGCTGGAGTCGAAGTCATTTTCCCAATCTTTACATTTCTCAAACGCCATAGGACTCTAAGATAGTGTAAAAATGTTCAAACACAATGTACTTAGCTTAAGAAAAATAGTTGTGTGCCATTTCCCGCCCCCTCAGGGTACAAGAATGGAGGAGGCCCGAACAAGTGACTATTGTTATGTTGCAACTTTAAAAGGCTTGGGAATCAAAGGTGATAATTGTTAACAACTCCCGTTTGACTCTTCTGACTTCCTCTTAATAAACTTCGGTACTCCTTTCTAAGCCCCCTGGAGAACGTGAACCATCGCGGGCCTACCTGTCTCCTCGATGCTAAAAGAATCCACCAGCCGAGGAAAAGGCACAACGACTGAATTCCTCCAACAAAGAGGGTACTCCGCGCGCCTCCATCGCAGAGGTGCGACCTCTGCCCCAGCCTTGCGCACAGCTCCGCGCCAGCAAGGGAGGCTCGGGACCTGCCCCCGGCCCCGCCTCCAGCCTGCCTCACCTGGGGCCGCCCTCGCGCCTCTGCCCAGGCCAGGCCTTGGCCCCAGCTCTAGCCCTCTAGTCCCCGCGCAGCTCTCGACTCCCCGGAAACCAGAGGGCGGCCGACCAGTTTCGCCGCTTCTGGCGGGGCCGGAGCGGCAACACCCCCGACGCCACAGCAGTCAGACCCGCAAGGCGTCCCCGCGGCTCAGGACCTAGCCCGGCCAAGAAGGATGCTCAGAGCCGGCGACCAGCCTAGCGACCGCACTGGGGGCGGGGACGCTTTTACCTGCTGCTGGCTCGGCCGCTCCTAGCCGGCTCCGCTCTCCTGGCAACCACGGCAGCTACACGGAGACCGGGAGCCGAAGGGCCTAGTGACAGCTCCCAGCGTGCACCGCGCTCGCGCCCACGCCGGCGTCGACGTCTGCGGCCTTCGATCCCCGCCCCCGGTCGGCTTCCTGCCTCCCGGCGCTAGCTGTTGCCACAGCGCCCTCAAGTGGACTGTCGCTGGAAGCGGCCACGGCTACCAATTTCAGGAGTGGTTAGAAAGGGGGTTAGCAGATGTTTTCATTTGAAGGGATAATAGGAAGTGAAAACAGCTTTTAAATATTATTGTAATAGTATCTCAATATTTCATATGAGTAACCTGAGGCCCAGAGAGGTTAGGAGACTTGTGAAGTTAGGAGACAAATAGTTGGTGTCAGATTTGGAACTATTTTGAGTCTAGAGCTCTATCAATCATATCTAGTTACTCCAAGGTAAATTGCACCGTTTTGCAAACACCATGGGGTAAAAAAATGAAAGTTTTTGCAAATACGTAATATATAACAATCTTTTTGCTTATATATTTATAAATATATAACAATCTTTTAAGCTAACAAAACAATTATAAAGAGTTAGCTGTGCTAATGAAGTTGTGTATTTCAATATAATGTGTCAATATTTAGGCATTCAATAGTCTCGGATATTAAAGGAGGAAGATATGAAGAGTTGAAATCATCATCCTTCAAATAAATGAATTACTTGAGACCAAACAGTAGTAAACTTCATTTTTTAAAGTGAGTTGTTGCTTCCATCTATGATTTCAAATTATTGGGATAGATATAATAATTTGTGCATCAACATAATACACTTTAATCACCCCAAATACTGATTTTAGAAAAATTGTCTTAAGCTATTATCTTAAAACATATGACAGGATTTATTTATTTAGAATTTATTTATGGTCTAGGCCGGGCATGGTGGCTCACACCTGTAATCCCAGCACTTTGGGAGGCCGAGGCGGGCGGATCTACCAAAAATACAAAAATTAGCCGGGCATGGTGGTGCGCACCTGTAATCCCAGCTGCTCGGGAAGCTGAAGCAGGAGAATCGCTTGAACCTGGGAGGTGGGGGTTGCAGTGAGTCGAGATTGCGCCACTGCAACTCCAGCCTTGGCGACAGAGAGAGACTCTGTCTAAAAACAAAACAAAACAAAAAACAGCAGTTCCTTGTTTTTAAGAAGTCCTATGGTAATTCTACCCTGGTCTTATATTTTAATAGTTTTTCATTATAAGTATTTACTGTGTCAAACTTTTCAAAACTATCTTTTAGTAGTAATGGGATGACAACTTCTCTTAGTTTTTACTTTTGTGAAAGTGAATAGTAGAGCTGTACATACGTAATCATTCTCATCTTCCTTTTTTACCTCCTAAAAAATGGTTAGTCCCGATAGACTTCAGCCATACTCTTTTGCATTAGGTAACAAAGAACTTCCTCATGTTTTTGCACCTGTTTCAATTTTGGAGCTATCCTAAGTTGAGAAGCAATGGCAAGTCAATTCTTGAAAATTTTGTTGCTTTAGACAGAAGCTAACAAATGACCCTTGTTCATAAAGAGACCAAAATAAAGTGGGTTTGGGGCCAGGAATTCTGCTCTTGGATCTCCTGGGGACAAAGTCCACGTGTAACACCTGCCTCCATCACCTCCCTCCGTTCGAGCTAGCCAAAGGAGTGAACCTTGGGTCTGATTTTTATGGTCATTTCCAGGGAGGCTGACGCGCCAAGTCACGCTCAAAAGAAGCAGAGTGGGAGGATAGCTCGCCTCTCGCCGCCCACCTTTCTCAGCACTGTGGGCCAAAGCCTGGTTTTGAAAATGCGCGCCCCGCCCAGGCCTCAGGGGGTCCCTCGCCTTCTCGGTGGTGTACTCTCCGGCCGGCAGGCGGCGCTGTGAGCCGGTAGGCGGTGTCAGCCATGAGCTCTGTCACAGGCGCCTGCGCCGCCGCGGGGTGCTGCTAGTTGGTCCGCACGTGGAACCGCTCCTGGTCCTGTTGACCCGGGCCCCGCGGAATCTCCAGCTGGGTCCGGTTCGGGACTGGGCGCCCGCCATGGCGGCTACTGCGGCGGAAACGCGCATATTTCTGGAGGTGCGGAGACAGCTGCAGAGCGCGCTGCTGATCTTGGGGTAAGAACTGGGATTCTAGGCGCAGTACCCAGCTCGCTTTACTGCTGTCCAGGGATCGGGGGCTGGTGAGTCTCTCTCTGTCTCTCTCTGAACGAGGGATTTTGAGTTTCTTCTTGCCGGTTGCGTAGAGCCTCTCGATCACTCAAAGTGAAGCTTTCCCCTGTAGTCGCCTCCGCCACTCCCACCCCTACAGACAGTCTGGTATCTTTGAGTAGCTTTTTAGAAATTCAGGGTCTCAGCTCCACACCAGACTTAGGGAATCAGAACTTATATTTTAACAAGATTCCCAGGAGTCAAATGCACATTAAAATTTGAGGAACAGTGATGTAAAGCACTGTTGGCAGTGCCCGGCGTTTCCAACAAAACAGTGCAAAAAATGATTTCTTTGCCTCTCTTCGGGATCCTGCTTACTGGATCAGTTCCTATGTGTGAGGTTCTGGTGTTGTAGATAACCACGGGTCTTTCCCCCCAAAACTGCTCTTTGCAGAGAAACCACACAATCATTCAATAAACTGAGTTTAGTGAACCTCGAAGAAAGGTTGCATACTTCTTATTGGAGCTCGTTCATTTATTCATCTTCTGCTTTCCAGTGAGAACGGCGAGCTTGTTATTCGCTACACAAACAAATAACTTTTAGGGAAAATGTTCTCTATTTTGTTTGACAGCAGTTTTAATGATTTGTGGTCCCCTTGTCTATTCCTTTGTGATCGCTGTTTCAAACAGAGTAAGTTAAATGTTAAAATCCTGAGATTGTTATTACACAGTGCCACAGGTAGACTGATGCTTAATTTTTTCCTCTTTTCCCTAAATCTGCCAGATATCCGGTGTGGCCGTTTGGAATATGGCATGAGAACTGAGTTCAAATGCTAGCTTCCTCACAAAATTAGAATAATTTAATCTGAATTTCTTCAATCTTGAAATAGAAATAACACTTAGTACTCTGAATGTATTTATTTTTCTCTTTCAAAAATTATGAATTTGGGCAAATATCTCCAATTCTGGTGCACCTTGTAGAGTAATTAGGAACCCAAACTCTACCGAAATAAAACAAAAACCACACACACACACCAAACCCTCCCTTCCTCTCATCCAGGGGCCTTTCACAGTTCCCTTGGACTACTCCCGTTGTTTAAGCAAGTTACACCGGTGGCTCACACCTGTAATCCCAACACATTGGGAGGCCGACTTGGGCAGATCACGAGGTCAAGAGATGGAGAGTATCCTGGCCAACATGGTGAAATCCTGTCTCTACTAAAAATAAAAAATTAGCTGGGTGTGGTGGCACGTGCCTGTAGTCCCAGCTACTGGGGAGGCTGATGCAGGAGAATCGCTTGAACCCGGGAGGTGGAGGTTGCAGTGAGCCGATGTTGCGCCACTGCACTCCAGCCTGGCGACAGAATGAAACTCCGTCTCAAAAAAAAAAGGAAAAAGGAAAAAAGAAACCTAACTTTGCTGGACTTAGTTTTGCCATTTCTTGAACTACTTATAAATGGATTCATACAGTATATACCTTTTTGTTTCTGGCTGCATTGTTTCCGTAACATTTTTGAGATCCATTTTCCATCTATGTGGCTGCATATACCAGTAGTCCATTCCTTTTTCTTGCTAAGTTTTCCATTGTATGAATATACCACAGTTCATTTATCTGTTCTCCTATTGCTGGAGGTTTCTCTTGTTTCCGGAGTTTGCTTATTATGAATACAGCTGTCATAACACTGTCATATAAATCTTTTTTTGGACATACATTTTTATTTCCTCTTAGGTAAGTACCACACAGTGAAATTTCTAGGTCATAGGATAGATGTGTGTGTTACTTCGTGAGAAATTACCAAACAGTTCTCCAGAGTGACTGTACCAGTTTACACATTCAACCAGAAAAAAAAAATGAGTTTCAACTGCTTCACATTCTCACCTACATTTAGTATTGTCAGTCCTTTTAGTTTGAACCATTCTAGTGTGTGTAAAATAGTATCTTGTGGTTTTAATTTTCGTTTTACTGATGACTAATAATGTTGAGTACCTTTTCACTTGCTTTTTAGCAGTTCATATATGTTCTTTTTAAAAGTATTGTCTAATTTTTTTGCCGTTAATCAGATGATTTGTCTTGTTTAATTGAGCTCTTTATACAGTCTCAAAACAAGAGCTTTCTCATATAAATGCCTTGTGAATATATGACTGTTCTTATCTGTGACTTACCTTTTCATTTTTTTTTCTTTTTTTTTTTTTTTGAGACAGGATCTCGCTCTACTGCCCAGGATGCAGTGCAGTGGTGTGATCATGGCTCACTGCAGCCTCAACCTCCTGGGCTCAAGCAATCCTCCCACCTCAGCCTCTTGAGTAGCTGGTATACAAGTGCATGCCACCATGCCCAGCTAATTTTTGTATCTTTTTGTAGAGATAGGGTTTCACTATATTGCCCAGGCTGGTTGTGAACTCTGGACTCAAGCGATCCGCCCACTTTGGACTCCCAAAGTGCTGTGATTACAGGTGTGAGCCACCATGCCCTGCTTCATTTTTTTTTATAGTGTCCTTTGATAAACAGAAATTTTAATGAAGTCCACTCTGTCATTTTTTTTTTTCCACTTAAGGGTTAGTTTTCTCGGTGTCTTAAATCTTTGCCTACCTTAAGGCTGTGAAGATGTTTTGGCAGGTTTATTTTCTAGGAGTTACATCATTTTAGCTTTTACATTTTGATCCGTGATCATGTTGAATTCATTTTTGTGTTTGCAGTGAGGTAGGGATCAAAGTTCATTTTTTTGGTATAAGAATATTCAGTTATTCTATCACCATCAGTTGAAAAGGCCATCATTTCTCCCATTAAAATAACTCAGTATCTTCATGAGAAATCAGTTGACTTATACTGTTTGCATAGTGTGTCTTTTCTACCCTTTTAACCTTTCTTATGTCTTTCTGTATAAAGCAAAAAACTGTAAACATACTGTATTTCTCTAAAAATAGCATAAAACTATATGCTATTTTAAAAAATATATGGTTAGGTGATTTTAAATCCGTTCCGATGATCTGTGCTTTTTAATTAAAATGTTTAGTCTCTTTTATATTAATGTAAATATTGGTGTTCTTGTTCCTAATTACTATGGTTTGGATGTGTTTTGTCCCTATGTTTTGTCACGTTGATCCCCAATGTGGCAGTGTTGAGACATGGGGCCTAGTGGGAGGTGCAAGGTTCCTGAGGGCAGATCCTTCTTGAACAGATTAATGCCCTCCCATGGAGATGGGTGGGTGAGTTCTCTCTCAGGAATGGATTAATTCCTGCCATAGTGGGTTCAAAAGGGTCTGGTTTCCTCAGTTTCCATTCACAGATGTAAAGATCTACTTATGTTAAGCCATCTTAGCGTTTTGTGATAAACTTTGGCCATTCATTTATTCAATCCACAGATGTATAATGTGTTCTTACTCTAGTGCCAAAAATTCAAATTCTAAGTGCTGAGAATATAGCCATGAACAGTAACAACAACAAAGACAAAAACACCTGCCTTTGTTGAGCTTACAGTCTAATGGTGGCAGTAGGGAAGAGTTGGCAGAGAATATGCAAAATAAATATATATTTAATAGAAGTGGAGAAAAAATTAAACAAAAAAGGGATGGGGAGAAAAAAGTTACAATGTTTTATTTCAAACGAGAAAGTAACATTTGAGTATTAAACTGTAAGCGGTGAGGTGTAGAACCTGGTGGTTCTACACCTATACCTGGTGGGAGACAATTTCCCTTTGAGAGAAAGTGAGTATGAAAGGGTGCCTAGTTCAGAGAGATGCAGATGAGGTGGGAGAACACATAATAAAAAATCTTATGGCATTGTGCTGGTACATGTTTAATAACCTACTCTCCATGAAAATAAACAAAAAGACAAACTGAGGTCTTGATCTGAAGCATTTGTTGATTTCTTTGGTGTGAATACTTTCACCATGTATGACCTTCAGCCTACCAACTTGGTGAGGTGAGTTGACCTGCTTTGCAGAACTCCAAGGATTTTAACAACAGGTTCTCCAAAGCTTGTAGCAGCAGGGCCTACTATACCACTGTGACTCAGGGACCATCGAAAGGACTTTAGCTTGTAGTTAGAGTGAGAGATGAAGTCATTGGATAGTTTTAAGCAGGTGTGATACCTGACAGAATACAAGTCAATGGTGAAGAAAGCCTCGAGTATGAAAGTATTGTATGAATTATGTCAATCAAACTTAGTCTTAAAGTAGGACATTCTCCTAAAGAACCATCATCCAACCCTCACAATTGGGAAATATGTTGCTACCATCTTACATCATTCATGTTTTGCCAGTTGCCTACATAATATCCCTAAAAACAGAAGAATCCAGTTCAGAATAATGCATTGCATTTCACTGTCGTGCTTCCTCTGTCTGTTTAAATCTAGAAGAGTTCCTCATTTTCCATTGACTTTCATGGTCCTGACACTTTGCAAGATGATAGTACAATCATTTTGTAGAATATCCTTCCATTTGGATTTGTCTTATGTTTCTTCAAGACAAGATTCAGATTTTGCATCTTTGGCAGGAATATAACAGAAGTGACGCTTCCTGTTAGGTGGCACATGATTTTGCTTTGTTCCATCAAATTGGTTATGTTAACTTTGAGCACTTAAGTAAGAGTGTCTGCCAGGCTTCTCTACCTTAAAGTTACTCTTTTTCTCTTCATAATCAATAATTGGAGGGTATTCTGAAATTATGTAAATACCGTGTTCCTCATTAGAGTTTCATTTTATTCAATGATGTGTATCGGTAAGGACACATGATTCTTACTGTGGGATACTCAGTGGGTTTTATTTTTTATTTTATTCAATGGGCTACTCTTTTGCTCATATTATACCAGACATGGCCAAGGAAGTCCTTTCTGAATGGTTTCTGCATCTTTTTTGATATGTCCCTGTCATTCTTTGATTTCTTCATGTTCTAGCAACATGTTCCAGGCTTATTTCATTCTTTCCCTGTTACAGCGCTGGATGTAGTCATTTTACCAAGGAACTTTGTTTTTGGTTTGTTCGTTTCATTTTTTAAAGCAGAAAATGGCCTTTACAAACCAAGATCTGGGCACGAGGTGTACTCATCACTATTGAGTGTTGCTTCTCCCAGAACTAGGGTATGTGTGTATGACTTATATATGATGTTTATGTATGGTTGTGCCTACATACATATGTACATACATGCATTTACAGCTATCTATATTACTGTATCTATTTGTAAACATTGAAAACCATGACTTCACACAGGTATTTCTACAGGTATTCTGCCCCACCACCATAAGGTCCATTCTAGTTTCCTCCCTTTCTCTTTTTGTAACTCCATTCTCCCACAGTAAGAATCATGGCCCTCATTGTCCTAGTGGCATTTGTTTATTTGGTCAGTTCCCTCTATGTAATTAATAGTCCGCTGGCATCCTTTGCCACCTCCCCCTGCTCATTGTTGACACTCCTCACCTGCTTGGACCCTGTTATGGACTGAATGTTTGTGTCCCCTCAAAATGTACATATTGAAGCCCTAACCCCCAAAATGATGGTGTTAGGAGATGGGGCTTTGGGAGGTAGATTTAGATGAGGTCTTGAGGGTGGGGCTCCCCTGATGAGATTAGTGTCCTTATATGGAGAGGAAGAGGCACCGAACTTCCTTTCTCTGCCATGTCTGTTGTTTAAGCCACCTATCTATGGTATTTTGTTATAGCAGCTGAGCTAAGACAGGCTCTGAAACCCCATCCTGAGCTGGCCTCACCTCCTGTTCAGATTTCCTGCTCACCTGTCTTGGGATCTGACACCCCTGCTGAGTGGTCCTCCTGGTGGATGCCCTCCACAGCCTGCTTGGTTTCTCAAATCCATGCTGGGCCACTGTGTCACCACCCTTGCACTGATGCCTCCCTTGCTTGGCCCTATAAAATGACTAAAGTTTTTGGGACTAGGAAGAAATGTGATAAACCAGAGATAGGGTGGCAATGGATACTTAGGACCCCAGTGGTAACCCTTGCAGCACTTGGAAGTGTCAACTCTACACAGTCTAGTTTGAAAGTCATTGAGGCAGCAAACGGACATTGTGTTATTTTTAGAGCAGCAGTCAGAGAACTATGGCCCATTGGCCAAATCCTACCTGCAGCCTGTTTTGGTGCAGCCTGTAAGCTAAGATTTGGATTTTTCTTCTTTATCTTTTTTACTTTTAGACAGGTTCTTGATCTGTTGCCCAGGCTGGCATGCAGTGGCATGATCATGGCTCACTGCAGTCTCCTGGGCTCAGGTGATCCTCCCCATCTCAGCCTCCTGAGTGGCTAGGACTGCGGGTGTGTGCCACTATACCCAGCTAATTTTTAAATTTTTTTTGTAGAGCCAGAGTCTTGCTATGTTGCCCAGGCTGGTCTCAAACTTATGGCTCAAACCATCCTCCCACCTTGGCCTCCCAAAGTGCTAGGATTAGAGGAGTGAGCCACCTCGACCTGCTGATTACATTTTTTAAGGGTTGTTTTTTAAAAAATAAAAATTAGAATATGTATTCTACTTTGAGACCATACATGGCTCATAAAGCCTAAAATATTTACTATCTGGTCTTTCACAAAAAAAAGTTGCTGACGCTTGTTTTAGAGGATCATTATTGCTTAAACACCATTTCTTGAAATTAGACTTTTGACTCGGGTTTGAAGCTGTTGTCCCTTCAAAAAACTCAGGTGCTTAATATTCTGTATTGCTAATTAAGTGCAGATCCATATGCTTTGAAAAGGAACTAGCCAGAAAGTAGTTGTAAGATTTTCTAAGGCAGATTTCTGAGGCCTCACCAAGATTCACACCTGAACACATCGTCTGCCCTGTGTACTCAGATGACACTCAAGCAAATGACTTGCTCTCTGCACTTCGTTGACAACATGTGGATGGCCTGCTGTCTGCACTTAATAAGGAGTCATGGTACTTTGTACCTCTGTTGCAATGCTAAGCCTATTGCAGTTTCAGAGGAGGGTCATTTCCATACATGCCTTTGTCCCCTCTATACATTTGACATCTGGAGGCTTTTGATAGGGACTGTGTTTTACTCTTTATTGCCTATACTGAGTAATTTTTGTTTACTGTGAATCGTATTAGTAAGTCCTTTCACACCTGATATTCATACATCACTATATTGTTTTCTTCATTAATTCCTTTTCTTAAAATTGACAAATTTTTCTCTTGTATCTTTGTTTCACCGAATCTTGGTCTCTTTATTAAAATCTTGTATATGAAATAATAGTACTTTGCTCTGATTTACTATAAAACGTTATTTTAGTGCTCTTCTCAGAAGGAAGAACCAAAAGTCTGTCCCAGAACTTGCATAGTACGGTGACAATGAAGGGCACTCTCTGACCAGATCTAAATCTAGTGTAGGTTGCTTTCCTTTATGATCTGCTTGCTGCTGTTTTTCTGGGGCAGTGACTTTAGAGCCTCTATTGAAGAGGAACAAAGAGATCCTTGGCCATATTTGTTTCTTTCATCATGTGGTTTTCATTATGAGAAATAATTTGTTTGGGTTTTGTTTTTAATTACCAGAGAACCGAAAGAAGGAGGTATGCCCATGGATATTTCCATAATGCCATCTTCACTCCAGATGAAAACCCCTGAAGGCTGCACAGAAATCCAGCTTCCAGCAGAGGTCAGGCTTGTACCTTCCTCTTGCCGTGGGCTACAGTTTGTTACTGGAGATGGACTGCACCTGCGGCTGCAGGCGCAAGCAGAATTAGGCACAAGTGAGTAATATTAGCACTTCTGCTTCTGTATTTACCTTTTAGTTATGAACCAAGGTGATTTTTCCTTTGATAAGTTGAACTTTTCCCAGGTGAAGGGGTTGAGAAGCTGTAGGGTCTTTGTCAGCCTTGCCAGTTATTGGCTGTATGCAATTGAACATGTTACTTAACCTTTATGAGGCTTCCTCCCTCCCTCCCTTCTTTCTTTTCCACCCACAGCAAAATTGAGCAGAAGGTGTAGAGATTTCCCATTTACCCACTGCCTTGTTTCTTTAATTGTAAAATTTTCTGGCTCACAGATGGGAAGATTAAATCAGATGGCAAGTGTATAAGACCTGACTGATTTTAAAGCATTACATGGAAATTTATTCATTCAGCCAATATTTTGGTTTGTGCTATGTGCTAGGCTCAATCTAGGTGCTGGGGATACAGAATTGAACAAGGTAGGGGAGGTGTCTGCTCTCATGGAGCTTACATTCTAATTGGTGGAAGCAGATAAAGAGCAAACAATTTAAGTATTAAGAAAAGTGTTATGATAATATAAAACAGAATAATGGGATAGGGAGTGACTACGGTTGGCTAAAGGATGATCAGTGAAGGCCACTGTGAGGAGGTGATGGTTGACCTGAGTCCTGAATAAGGAAATCCTATCCATGTGGTGACAGTTCCAAATAGAGAAAACAGTACACAAAGGATCCTACAGTTGAGTTTGATACTTAATTTGATTTTGATTTTTACTATGCCTGTTATATTTACAACATTTTGTAACTGGTATAACGATTCGGTAAGGCAGTAGAAAATTTGCTTTTTCTAAGACCTCGGGGTTATTTATTGAATAAAATTATTGGCTCATTACATCTATTACAATAGATGTACTATATGCTTTGGGGGATTAAAATTGTGTTAAAGGGGGAAACAGGCTGTAAAAGACTTATATGATGTTTATTATCAGAGAAAGATTATAATTCTTTCAGCTGCACACTGACACTTCACTGCTGCCTCATCTGTAATAAACCTTTCATCTGAGCAGTGTGGATCCTGGAGATGGGGTCAGCAGGAGTGTTTGGAAGAGCCATTTAGAAGATGTTGAATATTCCCCTGAGTCTCTATTGCGGGCTTTTGTGAGGAAAGAGAAGATAGGGTTTCATTTCTTTTTTGCTGGAGAGCAATGTTTGCTCAAGTCCTGAGTTAGTGAATAACTAGTTTGAGTTGGACAGGGTTGGTTCTAGGAACAAGGGGTAGGGAAAAGACATGGAAGTCATGGCATTTAAATATTACAGGATGAATACTAGGAATGACTGTTGGAATAACCATAGCAAGAAGGTTAGGGTCACCAAGCTGGGAAGTAGACTCCCTGAGTGCACCTAATAATAGGCAGAGAAAGTCTTGTTTCAGGGAGGTGGCCATGGGAGGCTGGATGTTGTGTTATCATCACCTTCTCCTTCACAACAGTTACCTCTTTTACAAGAGTAACTACAGCAGGAATTTTGTATTGGATCCTGAGATTTGGGAAAGGCAAGCATGAAAGCCACAGTGGAGTGTTTTCTGGGGCTGTGATGTTAGAGATGGAGGAATAGAGACCACCAGGGACATAGTATTGGGTTTTTCCCCATCCATATTCTGTATTCTGTAACTGAATATACAAATATCAAAACTGGAATTATTTTTAAAAATTTAAATCCAGAAACATTGTTTAAACTATAGGACAAAATAAATTGATTGGTATGTGCTGATTTGCATATTGTTTGTGTTCATTGATCTCCTATTTCTTTACACTTTTAATATATTTTGCTCAAATGTCTGAAAAGGAAAACTACCAAAGGCCTGTTCCATAGTGCATGAAAGAGTATGCAAAACAGATTCCTCAGCACTTAATTGCCTGAGTGCTTTCCATATAATAGATGGTGTATAAATATTTGCGGAATGAATAAATATGAATAGATGTGTATTGGTGTGAACTTGAATCAAACTGTTTTGTAGGAAGTGACTTGAAAGTTTTAGCATTCAGTTTGTGTTTCAGGGTTTTTAAAAAGATGACTTTTCAATGCTAAGAACACCCTTTTAAGGACAACTATAGCAAACATCATACTGGTATACTGCTATTTTGAGTGTCAAACTGTGACCCTCAATGTGGAACTAGCTACAGTAGGATCTATTACAGCACGCGCATTAGATTGATCGCCGGCAGCAACAGTCTCCCAGGATTCCTCTGTATCAGAAGCTCTGAGTTTTAAACCCGACCCAGTGCATCATGCTGGGTGACCAGCAGAGGGTAGTGTTTCACTGAAAATTTGTTTGTGGGTCTGGAAAGACTATTTTGGATTCCTAGGTCTCCTTTTAATCTACTCAAAGTTAAAGAATAATACTGTTAATTTCACCTTAGTGCTATAGGGATTTCTGACCACCCCTTAAAAACTGTTAAGATTTTTAATTGCCAAAGCATAAACCTTCTAGCATCAGTTTTTTAAATCTTATATACAGAAAAACACAAACCAGATCCACATTGCTTGATTCTGATGGATATGAGCTCATTTGTTTAATTAGATTTTTACAGACATATTTTAGTTGTTTCTTTTAAATGAAAGTTTCCTTATTTCATAAAAGAAATAATGGAAACTAAGGGAACATGCTGCCTTATGCTGCTCTTACCATAGTGTGAGAAATATACATTTTTCCCCCACAGCTTTCAATGTTTTACCATAGCTTTCATTAGACATTGACTTTTGCTCTGGAATAACTGGACTCTTTTTGGAGCCATTCCATTCCCAGGGAGGTGTCCAATAAACATTAGTTTGAGATCTTTGTTCATTTGGTAATATGCTAGATTGGACATAAACCTTGTTTAAATAAAATTAAACTCAAATTTGGCTGGGCATGGTGACTCATGCCTGTAATCCCAGCACTTTGGGAGGCCGAGGCAGGTGGATTACGAGGTCAGGAATTCAAGACCAGACTGGCCAAGATGGTGAAACCCCATCTCTACTAAAAATACAAAAGTTAGCCGGGCGTGGTATTGGGCACCTGTAATCCCAGCTACTCAGGAGGCTGAGGCAGAGAATTGCTTGAACCCAGGAGGCGGAGATTGCAGTGAGCCAAGAGCATGCCACTGCACTCCAGCCTGGGTGACAGAGCAAGACTCTGCCTCAACAACAACAACAAAAAATTAAACTCAAATTTAAGAGCTCTATTTGTTCACACCGATGAAACACTATTGTGAGACATAGCAGAGGAAAGCTGAGAATGTTGGAGAGCTGTGTAGTTAGCTTGATGAGAAGGAAATAGTTCTTTTTCACTCATCCTTAATGTTGGTATTTATAGAATGAGAGAACTAACAAATGCTACATGCGTAATCTAGGGGAGCACCTAGCTCTGGAACACTTAGCAAAATCTGTTGTTTTCAAAAACACTTCACAATATTTGCTTCTGCTGGAGTCATCAGATAGTATTAATTAAATGTGTACTTCTGGGTGGATCATAAACTGTTTATGGATGGTAATTTATTGTGGCTATTGAACTGTTTAAGTATGATAATATATTTGTTTCAATCTCTAAGATTAGCTATTTCATTGACTTCCTTTAGAACTGATTTCAATGTTTAATCAAAGCTCGCAAGCCCAAGAATGTTGCACATTTTATTGCCAATCCTGTGGTGAAGTCATAATAAAAGACAGGTAAGGAATATATTTAACACTAATTAATTCCATGCCTGGCAGTGGTTATCTCTTTTTCTATCGTAATTTTTCAAGAAATTGCCAATGGGGTAGTATATGGCCTTAAAGTGAGAGCCAGCTTAATGTCACTTGGAACAAAATCAGCCACAAAACTTGCTAGCAGTCAGAGTGATTAGCTCTTAGGGACATAAAGGGGAGCACTAGGATGCTGGCTTTGAGAGAGGAGAGCTTATCTCGGCTGAAAACCTGTGCTGATCACTGAAGCACCTCCCTCCTCTAAAGAAACATGGGACCTGTCACGTGTTTCATCCAACACGATGCTGAGTGACATTTTCCACATTCAGTGATTTTTTCCACATAACAGAAGCTTTTGCACAAAAACTTTTTATTTGAACTATTTTTATCAGTGCCTTTCTAAAATCCATTTACTATTTCTCCTGCTTATTAAAACAGAGCATACAGAGCACAAATTAACCTTTTCTCAATGATTAGGTTAATTTTATCATTTATTCTTGCCATGTGCTGCGATTGCCCTGTTGAGATGAGAAGGACTCTTTGCTGGTTTTTGTTGTTGTTGTTGTTGTTGTTGTTGTTGGCGTTTTTGCAGTCCCAAAGGCTTTTTAATTTCGTTTTTTTTTTTCTTTTTTTGTCTTCTTTCTTCCTCATGTCAGCCTTCTTGTTTCTTGGGCATAAACCCTTCCCCCTAAAATTTCAGCCACGAGTCATTCATAGGCTGGAGAGACAGATTAAATCCTAATTATCGTTAATAATATTTAAAGAATTTAGAGTTATTTATTAGACGCGTTTCCTGAGCCAGGTTCCTAACACTTGTAAGTAAGTAGATCCTTCCCATCTGAAACCTGCTTCTCTTCCAGTGTCCTTATCTCAGTAATGCTGTGCTTCTGCCTGTGTCCTCAAGGTAGAAACCTGGTGTAGACAGAAGTTCCTCCCTCTGGAGGCAGAGGAGTCCAAGCTTTCAGATTCCCCGAACTATACTGGAAGATGAAGAACTGTCTTGGGCTACACATAAAATACACTAACACTAACAATAGCTGATGAGCCTTAAAAAAATTGCCAAAAAAATCTCATGTCTTAAGAAAGTTTACGTATTTGTGTTGGGCCACATTCAAAACCTTTGGGCCATATGCTGTAACGTGGATCAGCTTGCTGTAAGGGGCTCCCCCCATAAATGGTCAGTTGCCAAGTTCTTTTGTTACTTTCTTCATGGCATGTCTAACATAAGTCCACTTTCCTCCACCCCAGTGCCTCTACCTTAGTTGAGGCCACTGTCTTCTCATCTAATTACACTTGTTGCACCAGCTCCTCATCCACTGAGCCTCCCTGTAGTTTTGTCCTCTCGTCTGACCTATTTTAGCACAACTAAGTAATTGTTCTCAAATGCATCAGGCTCTACTGGTCAGACCCCTCCACGACCCCCCATTTCTCCAGTATAAATTCCAGAAATATGCTACATTAGGACCTTTATGAGTTTGCCTCTACTTACCTCTCCACCCTCACATTTTATCTCTCTCCCAACCTATTCCTCCTCCCGCAAAAAACATGCCATTATTGACTGGCGTTCTGTACACAGCTCTGGTGATCAATGTGCAGCCCCACAGTCTTCTCATGATTTTTTTCACCCTGGGGCCTTATGAAAGTGACTTCTTTCCTGGAGGAATGCACCCCACACCCCCTCTCCCCCTGGTTGGCTCCTACCTGAACTTCAGAATTCAGCTGACAGGACAGGTACTGTTATGAGCCTTCTGTCAACCCTGGGTTGGTTTAGGTGCTCCTCTAAGGTTTATTTGCCTGTCTTCACAACTAAACTGCAAGCTTTCAGAGTGCAGATAATCTTGTTGTCCCCTGTATCCTTTATCCCTACTCTTTTGAGAGTGCAGTACAGTGTAGTCCCTTCTGAGTCTGTCTAGTAGTACCGACTCAGAAGCCAGAGTAACTAGGTTTGCACCTGACATTTACTAGCTGTGTGACTCTGGGCAAGTTACTTAAGCAGTCTGTGCCTCAATTCTTTTATTGCAGAAATGTGGCTAACAGTAGGACCTATCTCATAGGGTTGCTAGGAGAATCGAGTGAGTTTAAGTGTTTATGACAGTGCCTGGCACGTGGCAACGTGGCAAGCATTCTGTATGTATTAGCTACTGCGATAATTACTGTTCTTATCATCATCATCATCATCCCCGTCTGCAACATCAGGCACTATCCCTCGTAAATAGTGTGCTCTCAATCAATTTTTGCTGGGTTGAATTGAATAAACGTTGACATGTTTGTTTTGGCCTTCTACCAACCTCTCTTGCTTGCTTCCTGATTTCTGGCAGTGTCCCAGGTAGATGAGATGGCACAGAGTTACTCTGGCATAAGTGAGAGGTTACAAATGGAAGATCCTCAGAGTGACTGTCTTGAGTAAGAAATGAGGTGACTTTAAATTTGCAGAGGAGGGAACCTCATCTTTGCTTGGATTACCTAACTGTTGAAGTTACTGCATGTACTTGGTGACAGGCCCACTTTATCCTAAAAGGTTCAGGGGATCTCAGTTTACACTGTAGTTGAACCAAGAGTGTTTTCCTTCTCTCAGTCTATTTTAGGCTTTGGTTGAATTCTCAGATGAAGTTTCTGAAACATTCATTCCTAGACAACAATGGGGATTCCTAGAAGTTACAGTTGGAACATGTTAAATCAGTCTAACAGTATTTCTGGGTGCTGCTTGCAGTAAAGGATATGCTGGCTCATTATTGGCGGTTATTTGTGTTACATTGGAACAGGATGATAATATGAAAAATCTTGTATCTGTTGCCCCCATTTTTTCTGTTCAGGAACTGTATCTTCTGTGTCAGTCCCTTTTACAGTGATGGAACTGAGAACTAAAAGGGCAGCACTCACTCTCCCTAACCCTGACCATCGTCTGGCCCTGAAGGCAGGAGCAGGAGAATGGGACCTGGGTTTGAAATCCAGCTTCATGACTTAGTAGCTGGGAAGTTGTGTTTGTACTACCTCAGGTTCTTCTAATACAGCCTTCTAATAAGACCTATTTTCCAAACTTGTCAAGAGAATTAAAGGATAAAACATATGTAATAGTTAATGCTCAACAAGGTCTTTTAAATTGGTTTTATAGATTTCTACACTCTTTTCCAAATTGTTCTTATTAGCAAACTAGCAAATTATTTAGTTTAGTGTTTCAAACCTTTTTGTTTCAAGACTGTGATTCGCATACTCTGCGTGTGCCAAGGAAATGAATTCCCTTTCTCTTTTTCTCGCTGAGTAACAGTGGACTTGACTTAGCCTTTGCCTCATTTAATCAAGTCTTACCCAAAAACCTTTTCATGTCACACCTGTGTGCCTGGCATATGCATTCCTCTTCAGTAATGCAGAGAAATCCTTAGTAAATGACTCAAGGCTTTGCTTACCTTTAACTCTTAGGTAGCTTGCCCTTTGACTGAGTTGTATGGATAAAGATGCTTCCTTAAGTATCTGCACATGGATTTCATGTTGACCATTAATGTCAAACCCAGTGTTGTTCTTATTTCTCCCTCAGTTATCTGTTTTATGTGAGTGGTAAGGACAACTTTGTGCTCGTTAAATAGAAAACAAGACCAAAGGTTTTCAAAAGAGCATGTGTGTGCCAAAAATCAACTAATTGTAAACATATTTCCCAGTAAGGTACCTTGGAATATGTTGATTTATCTGTATTGGGAGCACCTCTATAGGAGCAGTGGAACAGAGTTAAGATCTGCTTACTGGCTAGTCTTATTATCTGGGAACATGTTACATTAATTTCCTGGGCTCCAGTTTCCTCACCTGTAAAATGAGGACGTTGGATTAGATAAACCTGTTAGAGTGCTATGAAACATGAAAATTCCCTGATCAATGAACCTCATTTGTATTTGCGGTTTCATGTGCTTTGTGATTCATGATTATTTCGTAGTGTGGAACTAATGCTTATTTTATTTTTTTTTTTTTAAATAAAAAAGGTTCTTGTTAACTTAATTATAGAAATAAGATGTAGAGGACAGTTTAAACAGTAAGACTCATTAATGGCTTTTAAATACTTACTAGCACCAGGGCACGTGATACCTGCTAATTACAGCAGCGCCTAATTTTAAGGTCACTTGTTCTTAGCTATTTGTTGTGGTTATTCGAAACCAAATAATGCCTCATTTCTTTATAATTAAATTCTCCAATTTACATTTTACCAGATTAACAGTTTTTCTGTAAAATGTGTGTTAATGTATGTAATTTTTGATTATGCTCTTGTTAAGATTAACGGGCCCTAATATCCAGCAACAATAATGAAATTTATTTTGTTGTGAATAGTCTAAGAAACAGCCAAATAGTCCTTGTGTTTGGAATTTATATATTCTAGAAATAAATTCATCTCATACATGAATGAAATCAGTCGGCCAAACTTTCAAACTCAAGCCTTTTGATTTTCGGATGATTTGAAACAGAGTGGCTCTCCTGAGGTCTCTGGATATTTCGCCCTGTTCTCCCTGCACTGGCAGGGTAGTGCTAGGTGTCAGCCTAGATCTCATGAGGGCATTGACACCCTGGAGGGAAACCAGCAAGATGGGATCTTTGGAAACATGAGATGTCAGGATATCCAACCACTTGATTGAGCCACTTGGCAGATCAGCTACAATTGTAACCTGAAAATAACTACTCCCAAGAATATAGTCACATTTCTACAAAGAGGTTAAAAAAGTACAGTCACCAACTGCACTATTGGTAACACTGTACAAACTTTTGGAATAAAATTATACTTTTATGGCTCTAATCATACTATGTACATAATAGTATTAAAGTGCTAAGCTAGTTTTATAGGATTTGTGGCCTGCCAGTCGGAGAATGTCACCTGAATTTATCTAATTCCAGCAGACCTATTTTGAGCTTTAGATAGTTGATGTTATTAATATTCTTGATGTCCGCTTGGTTATAATCCAATCTGTAAAAGCTGTTATTACCATTGTTATTATCTTATCACTGATTAATGGTTCATTTTAAAGCTAAGGAGCATAATTTTATTTTCTTATGTATGCTTCTTTATTTTCACATTCTTCATTTTTCTTTACCTCTATTAAAGTTAAGGGGCATACATCTTGTGCATATGTTTAAGTATTAAACATTGATATCATTTGTATATTTTAAGTTTCCTAAAAGTCTGCGCTCATGGTACATTAAAAATAACTAGGAAATTTTAATTTATTGTGAAGTTGTGTTGCTGTTCATTATAGAATCTTAAGCTGAGAGAAAATTCAGGAAATCATTTCACTGTTTTTTTGAGCTCCACCAGGATTCTACCTAAAAACTAACTTTGAAAAAGATGGTATCTATTTTATTTTGAAAGTTCTCTTGGGAAGTAGATCATATCAAAGTCTATTTTTCAGGGTTTTAGATAAATATGCTTTCAGTAAAGCAGTGATTAAAATCTTTTGTTCTGAAATGTTTTATGTTTTCTTCAAAACGTCAGAAAAAATTTTTCTGCTTTAAAAACTCTTTTATCTTTGCAATGACTTACAGATTAGGCACTTTCTTGCCTCTGGTGTCTTATGTAGATGGTTATAGGATATATTATAGCTTTTATTCACATGATAATGTAGTCACATTAAGTTTAAAATATCATATTTTGTGTTAATGTGAGTTGTCTCCCAGATCTCTGTAAATCTTGGGGCAATTTTATTTCCCTGATCATGTAGGCGATTTTGCCATTGTTGTCTCTTGCACTGTATTGAGGGTTTGTTTATTGGCACTACATGCAATATGTCAGGAGACAAAAGATCTTAATGATGGAGAAAGTCCAGGAGCCTATTTAGGCCTAACTCCCTCCCACTCTAAACAGGCAATTTATTTGCCTTTTTCTTCTTCTGCTTCTTCTTGGTAAAATTCAAATCTGACCTGTTATTCCGCTTAAAATTCTATAATGCTTCCTACGCACCTGAGGTACCAAGTCCCTACCCCTTAGCGTGGCCTAGAACACCCCACACAGTTTGCCACCATCCTACCTGCCCAAGTCTCCTCTATGGCTGTTCTGCATTGCCAGGGCAGGGAATATATTCTAGGGAAAAAGTTTGGTTTTGGAGGCAGGAAGACCTGAACTAAGAACCTGCCATTACTGGTCACCTCTGATTCTGTGAACTTATGCAGATTACTTAACATTTCTGAGCCTCACTTTCCTCCTCTGTATAGGAAAATGATATTTCTTGTCTCACAAAGTTGTTGCGAGCATTAAATGAAATAAGGTGTGTTTAGTGCCCACCAAGGTCTTCTTAATTTACCTAAACATGTGGACTCACAAGGCTACCACAGTCCACATTCTTTGCCAGCTTGCCAGCAGGGCAGCATCAAGAATTCCTCTCAGCAGGGGCGCGTATGTTTGCACAAGTGACAGCTCACATACCTTTCTGGGGACTGTCGTCTCCCAACACAGCATAGTTCCAGGTACAAAGCATAAGCTCCACATCAGGGAGGAACGGGAGCTGCCCTGGCTCAGAAGAAGGCCTTCTGCCTTAAGCAGCTGGTATTTCTTGTAACAATTCTTGATATAGTTTGTAGGGTTCCCAAGAAGAGACTGCATTCAGGGAAGGCCAAAGTATCCTATCAGACATTTACAGCTCATTCATATTTCTTCCTGGTTCAGATGCAGTTTACCAACCAAGGATCATTTTTACCGTAAGCAGTGTTGCCTAGCAATATAGTCGATGCCTAAGATCTTACCTGGTTTCCAGGGTAACAGAGCTAGGTGGCTAAACCAAAGGTCAGATTCTCAAGCAGCAAGGGAAAAGGTTTGTTAACCCCTGAATTCCAGTGTGCAACAGATACAACCAGTGTGAAATGCTTCACACATTTTAGTTATCAAAATACACTAGTTAATTTCTTCAACAAATATTTAAGAGCTCATGCTATATGTTAGAAGCAATGTAAGACAGCAGAAATACAGTGGCAAAGTAAATATATATGGCATCTACCTTCATATTGTTTCTTCCATGATGCCCTTAATTCCTTTCATTGCCTGGAGAACTACTATTTATCCTTCAAAGGCCAGCTCAGATATTACCTCTTCTCTGAAGTCTATGTATAGTCTATTCCCATAGTGCTTTATATATATTGCCCTGAATTCATAGATTGGTCTTGGGGATCCATGAATCCCCTAAATTAATATGCAGATTTTGTGTGCTTGTAGAAATGTATGTTTGAGGAAAGAGGCTAACACTTTTCTTAAATATTCAAAGGGATCTGTACTGCTCCCCCTGGCGCCACACACTCCCCCACCCACTGCAAGGGTTTAGAACCATTACTCTGTTACGAGCATTTATAACATGTGCTTTTGTTATTTGTTTATAGGTCCATATTTCTTACTAGAACATGAGTACCTTAAGAGAGATGACTGTGTGTGTTCATATTTTGTGCCAGTAGAATGCCTTATTCATGGTAGACTTATAGGAAGTGTATGTTGAAAGAATCACTTCTCAGTATGCTTAACAGGCTCAGCACCTTGGTGATACCAGTGGTGCAGTGTATACTAATTTCAAAGGAAAAGTTCTTCCTTATGTTAAACTAAAATCAGCCTTTCTTGTTTCTAGCTTTGTCCTCTGCAGTTATAGATTGTGTACCCTCTTCTGAATTGTAATTGCCCTTTTATGTGACTCAGTTGATTGGGGAAATCAAAGGAAAATAGGGGGAATTGTTTAAAAAAAAAAGTAGCATTCACATCTTAAATATTTTTAACTTATAACATCTGAATGTACGTTAATTTACTAGTGTTTGTGTTTTGTTAGGAGGAGGAACTTAGCAGATATCACCTTAACCAGGTTATCAAGATTAGCATCACTAAGTTGTGTTGATGTGATATACTCTCTGATATGATGTGATGAGAAGGGTACGTTTCACTTCTGTGAAATTCTTTCCCCAAATCCATACCACCAGCCTAATCTTGCGACGATATTAGACAAACTCAGATTGAAGAATATTCTGTAAAATACCTGATCTTTTCAAAAATCTCAAGTTTCTGAAAAATAAGGAAATATAGAGAAACTGTTACAGACCAGACGAGACTAGGGAGACATGATGACTAAATGCAAAGTATTATCATGAATTAGATCTTGGAACAGAAAAAAAGGATATTAGTGGAAAAACAGGTGAAATTCAAAGTGTGTAGTTTTGACAAATCTACCATGGTATCATAAAATAGTAACTTTAAGGCCAGCTGGGTGAAGTGTATATGGGAACTAATATATTACCTTTGTAAGTTTTCTGTAAATCTGAAATTATTCCAAAATGAAAAGTTTATTAAAATATGGTAATAGAAATTATAGAAGAAAGTTGTTAGGTGATTTGACAGTTAAGACATGTAAACCAAAATAAAAGGCAGTAACACCAAAAAAATTTGTAACAGGTTAATAAACATAAGGCTAATAATCTTAATATATAACACATTTTTACAAATTAATAAGAACATAGTAATACGGACCCTGGAAAATAGTCACTAATCACAATTCACAGAAGAAACACAGTGGTCTGTAAGTGGAAAAACTAGATGAATCTCACCAGTAATTTAAGAGTTGCCAATTAAAGCAGCATTGAAAATACTTTCACCTATTACTAATGCAGAAATGAAAAAATGATAGTATTCATTTATGAAAAGGGTGAGTGGAAGAATTATAGATTGGCACAGCCTTTCTGGAAAGAAATTCACCAAATAGGTGTTGGGTTTTAAAATATGCATACAATTTGTGCTTATCATCTCACACTTATATAAGATTCTTTCCAAGGAAAATAGATATGTTCATAAATATTCCAACAGGAACATTCATCACAGAGTTATTGATAATGAAAAACTCAAAATCTAAATATCTAACGGTTGAGGGAATGATCTCAAAAGTTTTGATTATGGAAAAGAATATTGTGGACTAATTAGGATTCATCTAAATAAAACAACAAAAGCAAGATATAGTGTGTTTATTCACCATTCTCAAACTTTGTGATATGTACAGATACATCTTTTGAACGGATGGCAAAGAAATACACTGTCATGTTTAGTTACTTATCTCTGGGTAGTGAGATAAAAGGATGATTTTTCCTTGTTTATACCTCCTTGCATTTTCAAAATTAGTTATAGTGAGTATATATTACTTTTATAATTGAGGAAAAATTAGCATTGCAAGCCTTGTGGTTAATGAGTTTCTTTCGTCTTTTATGCTCATTTAATTAAGAGAATGTTAGTTCCATTTTGTTCTGTTAAAAATGATTTTTCCTCTTTCCACTAGGAAGCTCCTCAGGGTGCTCCCACTGCCGAGTGAGAACTGGGAAGCTCTAGTTGGAGAATGGTGTTGTCATCCTGACCCCTTTGCTAATAAACCACTTCATCCGCAAGAGAATGACTGTTTTATTGGAGACTCTTTCTTCTTGGTGAATTTAAGAACCAGTTCGTGGCAGCCAAGACCTGAACTGTCCCCAGTGGAGATGTGCTGTGTTTCTTCTGACAACCATTGTAAATTGGTAAAATATCATTTCAAACTAAATGCTAATTTAGAGGTTATCTTAGATACTGGTTTCTTCAATCTTTTCCTAATTAAGGCCTTGTTACGTGGACTGCTGTAAAGGCCAAAATTCATTATTTTCAACTGTCATCACTATCTCTGCTTTATCCAAACAGGAAGAGCATATGGCTTTAAACTAAAACAGCCACAGGGGCCTGGAAGAATAAGGAGAGGAAGACCTCTGCAGTCATAGAATTGGGAGTGCTACCATTTTACAAACAAAATGCCCTGCTTTCTTGTTCTTAGGACAATATTGCATAATTTGTGTGCATTTTATCCTAAGTAGTCTGATTTAAGTTAAAAGTGTTCTGTTGCTCCAGGATATCGACTATACTATTAGGCTGAGGTATTTTACTATTTCTGCCCACAGTCTAGACTTCTGCTGAAGTCATAAATGCAGATGTCATCAAGTAAAAAGAGGAATGGAGGAGCCCAGAAATGGAGATAAAGCTTGTGTTGCAGGGTCTGAATTGGTGCTTGACAGTGTGAGGTCAGGTGGTTCTTGCTGCGTAGGTTACTTTGGGAAGAAGGCCATTTTCGCTCACTGCAGAGAACACGTGTTTTACTTTATTTTAAAAGAAAATCAATGGCATTGGCTTAGCCCTGTGAGATATCATTCCACTGATGGCCAGTCAGTACAGATGTTATTTAAAAAGTAAAGAAAATCATTGCCAGAGAAGCATTTTAACATCTGATTATTGGTGGGAACGAAAACATTGTATTTTCAATTTCATTCAGAACTCATTTAATTTTTGTAATAAGAACTGAAACTGAGCGACTGCAGGAGATATGCAGTAGATGGGCAGCTCTTAGGTTGTAAATTAGTTTATAGAACTATTCTGAGGGAGATGAAGGAAATTCGTCGAATGTGGACGTTAAGTTGTTGTCAAAGAAAATTATTTAAGTGCCTCATCTTACACTGTAAACAGAAATCCCTTAATCTAAATATGGTTCACTTTGGTGAAATGTGATACTTTACATTTTATATTTTAAAAGGTAAATAGTAAGTTAATATACATTTATGTTATATTTAATATGATTAATTAAATTTGTATTTTAATCTAAATATATACTAATACTTTATGTGTTTTAAATTTCGTCTTTATGATTAAGCTATACATTTTAAAAATATTTGGAAGTTGTGAGCAGAAAAGTAGTAGAGAAAGATTAAATGAGAGAAGCCATGTTTCCCTTTTTAAATAAACTCAGCACTCTGTGCTGAAATATATTCTTCACATTTACATCTTTATCAGTTATGTGATGCAATTTACAAGAATTTCTCTTCATAGTAAACAGCTATCTTATCCATTAAAGAAAGACCCATTGTATTTTTAGACATTACAGTTTTAGTATCAAGGAGACTGTGGGAAATTCTGTACTATCATGACAAGCTGCTGTTGAAAAGATTTTCTTCAAGTTAGCCTAGATGAAAGTCCCTCTTTAATTGTATATTGTAGCAGTCCAAAGAGTGTGCCTGTGACCAAAATAGAAGCGTAAATTTGGAGGGACTGCGTAAACAGTGCTCTCAAGGCTCCTGTGGGAACAAGGCTGTTCTGTGCTATTGAAAACCTATTTCTCCTATCACCCAGTCTAGCCATCTAGCAGGGTTTTGAAATGCCACATAGTAACAAAGCATCCTAATGGTATCTCTTGGGAAACATTTTTTTGGTGAGACAATATCAAGGGTCCTTAGAAATTGAGACAACACAAAGGGAAACTAAAAGGGAGGACACAAGGCTAATCCACCTCTCTGAGCAGTCCTGCCCTGTCTCAGATATATTGACTTAATTAGTCCACAACAATGTCCGTCTTTGAGGTTTGCTCTGTAGAGTTCCCACACTGTTAGGCTGCTTCATTACACAACTTGCCTTATTACCTCCTTCAAGGATAGGTGAAGAAAAATGCATTACAAACAGAGATTCCCTTTAAACAAAATTTATGTGTTATATGTTTAATTAAAAAGATCTGCTTTTAAAAACAGCACAAACAAACGTGAAGCCCAACACTGTTTCTTTTCTTCCATAGCTTTTTAGAGTTTATAGTACTTTATTTGAGCCTTTGTCATTGTAGCAGTATCTACTTTTTTAAAAAAAGATACCTGCTGGAGATTTCCCTATTCATGTATTCATTTATCATCTCTCTTGTTCTATTTTGTGCCCACCCACATAATACAAATTTCACATCTTGGGCCGGGCATGGTAGCTCATGCCTGTAATCCCAGCACTTTGCGAGGCTGAGGCGGGTGGATCACAAGGTCAGGAGATCGAGACCATCCTGGCCAACATGGTAAAACCCCATCTCTACTAAACTACAAAAAAATTAACGAGGCATGGTGGCGGGGGCCTGTAGTCCCAGCTACTTAGGAGGCTGAGGCAGGAGAATCTCTTGAACCCAAGAGGCAGAGGTTGCAGTGAGCCAAGATTACACCACTGGACTCCAGCCTGGTGACAGAGCGAGACACCGTCTCAAAAAAAAAAAAAAAAAATTGTATCTTATAATAATGGGATGATAAAGATGGCATTTCTTCCTTTTATAAGATTCAAAATATTATTCAAGACTTCACTGTATTTTTTAAAGAACAAATAAAATTGATCTTTGATTATATTAATATTACTGCTAGCAAGGATGACTAACATCTTTATCTTTTTTTCTTTCTTGGAGTACTTAGTAATAATTAGTTGATTTTGGTAATTTGTTTTGTTAAATCCATAAGTGGGTCTTTTTTGTTTTCTTAGAAAAATGTGTTGTCAAACTCTGTAAGTATTCACAATTATAAAAAGAATAGTATTGTGAATTTCAATATGGATTCATCATACTAGTATGCTTCATCTGCTCTTTTTTTTCCTGAAATGCTTTAAAACAGTCTTGTCATTTTATCCCTATGTGTAAAATTAGGGATTTAAAAAATGTAGCCACACTGTCATCACACCTGATAAAACTAACAATTATTCCTTAATGATACAATAACAGGCCATATACAGATTTTATCTATTGTCTTAAAAGTATCTTTTAGTGGCCGGGCGCGGTGGCTCAAGCCTGTAATCCCAGCACTTTGGGAGGCGGAGACGGGCGGATCACGAGGTCAGGAGATTGAGACCATCCTGGCTAACACGGTGAAACCCCGTCTCTACTAAAAATACAAAAAAAAAAAAAAAAAAAAAAAACCTAACCCCGTCTCTACTAAAAATACAAAAAAAAAAAAAAAAAAACTAGCCGGGCAGGGTGGCGGGCGCCTGTAGTCCCAGCTACTTGGGAGGCTGAGGCAGGAGAATGGCGTAAACTCGGGAGGCGGAGCTTGCAGTGAGCTGAGATCCGGCCACTGTACTCCAGCCCGGGCGACAGAGTGAGACTCCGTCTCAAAAAAAAAAAAAATATATATATATATATATATATATATATCTTTTAGTATAGGTTTGTTTGAATCAAGATCCACACATGTGATTGAGATAATTTGGTTGTTGTTGTTCTGATTTTTAAATCCTGATTACCTATGTCTGATAAGGGTAGAATCTTATTTTAAAAACAAGCAAACAAAAAACACTTCTCCTGCCCCATTGAAAGACAAGGTGAGATGTTCTGTGATAGCAGTTACGAATGAAGTACATATCAGAGCACTTGAAAAAAAATTTCTGCTTCAAATAAAAAATTCTTTCCTCTCAAGCCTTGCTATTACAATACCAATATTAGTTTTTAGTAAAGCCCTTAGTTTTTGGTAACATTTCATGAGTATGATCAGATTTAACTTGTACAAAATAGTACTCTTTAAAAAATATTTTTAATATCAACTTGGAGCCATACAGGTGTATGTCTTACTGTAAGAAAGCATTAAACTGCCAGAATGGCACCCTTTGTAGACTTGACTGGCTTTCTGAGTTCTCTTCTTCCTGGACCTGAATAAATTGGCACCTTCCTAGGTTTCTGTGTCTGTCTCTTACCTCTCGTGGGAATGGCCCCATCCAGTTTCCCACCTGCGTCAGGCTCAGAGACCTGCCATTTGTGATGTGCCTGATAAGGATGTCAGTGCAATGGCCAGAAATGGTACACTGTGGGGCCCACTTTGGGAGTGTGCCTGGATCAAAGTTTCAGCCAGGACTGAACTGACTTATGAAGTTCATGTGTGCTTCTGTTTCCTCGGCAGAGACTTTTGAGAAAGGCTGCATCTGTCCAAATACTGCCGCTAGACCAGGAAAAATGGAATAAGTGTTTATGTTACTGAAGGTTAATTCAGTGTAGGAAGGGATTCATCTCAAAAGTTTCTAAATAGAAGAGCTGTGGGCATTTATGGATTTTTTACTAGTTGCATGTGTTTGAGGCTGGGGTAAAGAATAGGCCATAGAGAAAGACCCCAATATGAATCGTGCTGTTGCTCTTGACTTTCACCTCTAATCGAATATATATATATGTGTGTGTGTGTGTGTATATATATATGTGTGTGTGTGTGTGTGTGTATAGACAGAGTCTTGCTCTGTCGCCCAGGCTGGAGTGCAGTGGCACAATCTTGGCTCACTGCAACCTTCCCCTCCCGGGTTCCTGCGATTCTCCTGCCTCAGCCTCCTGAGTAGCTGGGATTACAGGTGCGTGCCACCATACCCAACTAATTTTTATATTTTTAGTAGAGACGGGGTTTTCACCATGTTCGTCAGGCTGGTCTCAAACTTCTGACCTCATGATCTACCTACCTTAGCCTCCCAAAGTGCTGGGATTACAGGCGTCAGCCACGGCGCCCAGCCATTGAATGTATTTTTTTACATCAAGATCTGATAACACACACACACACACTCATGCACACACACACACAAACACCTCAAATAAAAGTTTCTTGAAGCAGTACTTACTCAGTGTTTGAAGCACTGTCATATTTTCTGTTCTATTGTATTTCATTTTTTGAAAACACAGTAGACCTGTGTTTGATGCGATGACTCATACCTATAATCCCACCATTTTGGAAGGCCAAGGTGGGTGGATCACGAGCTCAGGAGTTCAAGACCAGCCTGGCCAAGATGGTAAAACCATCTCTACTAAAACTACAAAAATTAGCCAGGCATGGTGGCAGGTGCCTGTAATCCCAGCTACTAGGGAGGCTGAGGCAGAGAATTTCTTGAACCCAGGAGGCGGAGATTGCAGTTAGCCAAGGTCACACCACTGCACTCTAGCCTGGGCAACGGAGCAAGACTCCATCTCAAAACAAAACAAAATAAAACAAACAAAAAAAAACCAAAGCACAGTAATCCACTGAATTGGTTCCATGAATTGGTTCCCACTAATGGGGCACATGAGCTGTAATTTGGAAAACACTTAGCATAGTGTTCAGAAGCCTTAGCATCAGAAAGACCCAGATTCAAACATCAACTCTGTCAGTTACTAGCAGCACGTCCATGGAACTCAGTTTAAATGTACTTTTTATGCCACTTTTTAGGAAATTATTTATGCCAAGGAAAAAATACTTATACTCAAATGTATATTAATCAATTAGATTTTTTTTTCCTTAGATTAAATACACATATTATCCCACAACAGAAGTCACTGCCCTTCTTTACTTCAGCCTACACCTATTCTGTGATTTCCCAGGAAAGGTACCCTGGTGTGTTCAGAGTTGCAGAACCTCCTTTTCCCTGCCCACTTTATATGGCGTCTGCCTTGTTGCAGTATATCTGGACGAGAGGAATGTTGTATGGTTTTAACAAAGGTATAATTATGGATGTGAAAAGGCATATTCTTTGTTTATTGATTAGGCAAATGCTAGTTATTTTAATCTATGTCTCAAATAATGAATTTGGATTTTTGAAGGTTAAGATTGTTTCAGGAATTGTCCCAGAGCACTACCTGTCTTTCCAGTTACCGTGCTGATCCTAAGTGGAAAAAATGGAAGTATGTGAACAGAATATATATTGTTAACTTTTCACTTATTGTAGTTAAGGATTATAGGTTACTTTTCCATAAATTACACTGGACTAGGAATCAAAATAGTGTGAGTTCAAGTTCTGATTCTTCTGTGTTCACATGAGTTGAGGCAAGTCATCAACCCTGTCTTTGTTGCCCACCATCTGCCTGTTCTAAGTTATAAGGCTATTTGGAAGTGCTTTTTAGAAATGTAAGGTACCACTTAATTCAAATTATTTGGCAACTTTTGGATTATCAAGAAGTGACTCGTTTTGGAAAAGTGAATCTGTGCTTTATTGTTTCTTAAGACTTGAAAAATTATCTCTGTGCATGTGAATTATGCATACAAGCTAAAGGTATTCCCAGTATTTAGTAGAGGGCAGAATAAAATGTAAAGTTCAATGTATACTCTGGGGACTGTGTTAAAATTATATATTCCTTTTAAGAAAAGCTGAATGACATTTAAATGACATTTTTCTGTTCTACAGGAACCAAAGGCAAATACCAAAGTAATTTGTAAGCGTTGCAAGGTAATGTTGGGAGAGACCATGTCATCAGGTAAGAATTTCATAACAAGAAGCCAAAATGATTGGCTTCTTGTTTAAAAGCCAGAATGATATTTTATAGTAAATATATAGGAAAGATAGATGATTAATATATGTTGTAGAATTGGTGCTTTTCAAAATAGACCCCAACTAACATATCATCCTGTATACCAAGAAGTTTGTATATTTTGCCCTTCATAAGTACAGAGTATTGAATTTTAAGTATTAAGAACTTGAGTCATTTTCAGTGTTTCATAGCCTCTTTGTAGATACAAAGCAATAGTATAAAGTTTGTACTTAGGTCTATTTTAAAGAAAATTGGAGCTTTTCTCTCTTTCTTTCTCTCTTTCTTTCTTTCATCTTTTTTTTTTTTAACCTTCCTGGTAACTCACAAAACAGAGCTTTTTTCTTAACACAACTCCTCAGTCAGAAGAATTGGTGCCCAGAGATGGAGGAGTTGTTTTTCTTGGCTGCCATCTGGCTTGGGGCTGTATTTTGGGGCTGGGGATGGGAGAGGACCTGTTGAAATGGTAGAAAAAACATTCTGAGTTTTGTACTTTGTCCCTTATTCTTTTTGTTTCCCAGTAACGTTGATTATATTTTATGTAATTTCTGTTATACTACTTTAAAATATCATACTGAAAATCCTGATAATTAAAATGCATTGCAATTTAAAGATATGGTTTACAGTGTCTAGAGAGCTGCAACATGCTGTGTCAGCTTGTGGAGGATGAATAATTACTTTTAATACAATTAATTAGAAGATGTGATTTACATGAAGCAATTTTACTTACGGGAAGGCAGATGATGGTTTTTTGTTTGTTTGTTTACTTGTTTGTTTAATCATCAAAATCTTATAAATAGTTACTTGTTCATGGTGAGCCAGAAAGGAAAAATGAGTTAGTAAATGATACCATCCTTAATGTCATTTTTGGAAAATGAAAGCAAGCTCCTGAAGCAATACCTTAGAAAATGTTAAGCCTTCTGGTTAAATAAGGTGAATTGATTTTTAAATTATTTTCTCCCTGAAGTCCTGTTAAAATGTCAGTTAAGGAATGAAAAGATGTATATCAACAAAGGCAAAGAAATGGATACATTTCACAGTTCGAGTCCAGGCCAGTCAATTGATTGCTATCCCAACCAATAACCAACAATCGTCAGAAGAGCAAAACAAAATCCACAGTTGTTACAACATATTGCACACAATGTCCTGCTTCTGTCTAAAAATTATTAGGTGTGCAAAGAAACTGAAAAGAATGTTTCATACTCAAGAAAAAAAGGACTTAATAAACAGGTACTTAGTAAACACAAATATTCGATTGAGCAGACAAACATGTGGAAGCAGCTGTTATAAATATGGCAAATAACTTTTTAAGAAAAGCTTTGAACAGATCTCAATAAATTAGAAAAAAAATCAAAGAAAAATAAATTGGTAATTCTAGAATTAAAATGTACTGTAACCATAAAGAAAAATTCACCAGATGATCTAAAGCACAAATCTGAGATGACAAAAGATAAAAAAAATTATTGAACTATAGATTAATCCAAATTAGCCAGACAAAAAAAAGTCTGAAACAAAATGAAGAGAACTTCCAATTTGTGGGACAGTATCAGGTGTTTCAACAAATGTATAAATAGGGTCTGAAATGATGAAGATAAATTGAAAGGGTCAGAAAAAAAACTGTAGAAAAAACTGGCTGAAAACTTGGCAAACTGTTTAAAAAATATTGGCTTTCAGATCTAAGAATTTCAATGAACCTGTACTAGGATAAACACAAAAACACTTCACTCAGGCATGTTGTCGTCAGTCTGTTGAAAGATGAAGAGAGAATCTTTAAAGTAGAAAGAGAAAAAAAAACCTCATATGTAAGAGATTTCATAATACAATTAAGATGAACTTCCAATAGAAATAATGACAACCAAAAGACTCTGAAATAAGGTATGTGGAGTGCTGGGGGGAAAAAGATGTGACAACCAACAATGCTGTATCTAGCATAACTATCACTCAAAAATGAAGGCAAAATAAGGATGTTTCCAAATAAATTCATGGAAATAATGGATTAAAAGTGTACCTGCTGTACAAGAAATGATAAAGGAAGTTCTTCAGGCTGACATGAAAGATACCAGATGGTAACTGGAAACTACAGGAAGGAATAAAAATCAGGGAGAATGGAAAATAATGGGGGTAAATTACCACAAAAGCAAACTCAAAAGAGGTAAGCACAAAATTCAAGCCACATTTTCTTTGCAATTTGCCCATTCTCCAAAATTAGAACTTTTGTTTTGAGAAGGGCAAAAATGAGAGACTACTCAAGAGGAGAACCTCACAAAAATATGAGACCCTAAATGGTGTGCCCTCACAGTGAGGGTGAATTGGAAATAGAACAGCCCTGTGGAATTATAGACAGAGATCAATCCTTTGGGACTTTAGGGAATTTCAAGTCTTGAACTTGGTTTAGTTTACCTTGTTCTAGACATTTGCCAGGTGCCTGGCAAAATCACCTTTGTAAGGAAATATCTCCACTGTAAAACTCATATTATTCTCACAAATAATTTTTCAGGTATAGTATGCATCATGCAACCAAGGATAAATAGGCACACAAGTAAACCAGACTTCCACCAACAAGAATTAAATCAAATAGACTACTTATTGGAGTTATGTGTAAACCGTAAAACTACCAGGCTTAGCATATTTAGCAATATGAAAGGTGTGAAGGTAGCTGAAAGGAAAAGGAAACTGTAACAGTAAGTATATTTAGGAAAGACCCACAGTAAAATTTCTTAAAAAGTATTATAATTGATATTAACTCAGCCAGTGGTTTAACACCAGATTAGGTACAACTTGAAGACAGAATTAACGAACAAAAGAGAGACAAGAAAAACCTGTTAGGTAGCACAGAGAGACAAAAGGCAAAATTTTTTTTTACAATTTCTCTCTTACAAGAGAGAGTAAGAGAGGTAGAACATCGACTATCCATTGTATGTTTAATCAGACTTCCAGGAGGAAAAGAAAGGAGTATGGGCAATATTTGAAGAGATAATTGTTGAGAATTTTACAAAAGTGATGAAGAATAGCAATCTATAGATTCAAGGGTCCCAGTGATTTACAATTCGGTGAAGCCCTAGCAAGAAAAATAAAAATAAATCCATACCTAGACACATGCAAGTAATACTGTAGAATAAAAAGTGGGGATAATCTTAAATGCAGCTGAAGAAAAATGACAGAGTTCCTTCAAAGGAACAGCAGTAATGGAAGTCTGAAGACAGTAGAACAATATTGCCAATGTGTGCAAATAACTGTTGACCCTAGGACTTAATCTCAAGTGAAAATTTCCTTTAAGAATGAAGGCTAAGATAAATATGTTTTCTGACAAACACAAACTGGGATAATTCAATACTAACGGTTTATTTTTTATTTTTTATTTTTATTTATTTATTTTTTTTGAGACGGAGTCTCGCTCCATCGCCAGGCTGGAGCGCAGTGGCGCGGTCTTGACTCACTGCAACCTTTGCCTCCTGGGTTCAAGCGATTCTTCTGCCTTAGCCTTCCAAGTAACTGGGATTACAGACATGCGCCACCACGCCTGGCTAATTTTTGTATTTTTAGTAGAGATGGGATTTCACCATGTTGGCCAGGCTGGTCTTGAACTCCTGACCTCGCGATCTGCCCATCTTGGCCTCCCAGAGTGCTGGGATTACAGACGTGAGCCACCGTGCCTGACCCATAGTGGTTTCTTATGAAAAGAAATTCTACCTGTACTCAGGTAGAAGAAAATGATCCCACATAGAAGGTCTAATTAAGTTGAATAAGACTTGATAAAATAGTGAATATTCAGATAACGCTTAAATGAATATTAACTGTAAAGCAATAGAAATAATACTTGTGGGATTAAAATAATGTAATTAAATTATAGATTAACAACACACGGGATAAAAAGGGTCACTTCTACTTTGGGAGGCGGAGATGAGAGGATCCCTTGAGACCAGCCTAGGCAACATAGTGAAACCTTGTCTCCACAAAAAATTAACCGGGCATAGTGGTGCATGCCTGTAGAAGTCCTAGCTACTCAGGAGGCTGACGCGGAAGGATCACTGAAGCCCAGGAGTTCGAGGTTACGGTGAGCTATGATCACACCACTGCACTCTAGTTGGGCAACAGAGCAAGACCTGTGTTAAATAAGTAAATACATACATACATACATAGTCATTTCATAAAGTTAAAAAGATTTAGTTTGTGTAACAACATGACTTCAAAATAGTAAATATTGACAGATCTTCAGGGAGAAATGGGTAAATCTGTCATGGCTCTGTACATATTAATCTATGAAACTATTTTATTTTTTTTGACCTTTTCTGTGTGTAATATTGAGCAATTACACACTTTTTCAAAAAATAACTTTGTCTTATTAAAAGTTGTTTGACAACACTATTTTATTTTATTTTTTAGGAGATGGGATCTTACTCTGTCTCTCAGGCTGGAAGGCAGTAGTTCACTGAAGCCTCAGACTTCTGGGCTCAAACAATCCTCTTGCCTCAGCCTCCCGAGTAACTGGAACTACAGGCACACGCCACTCAGCCTGGCTAATTTTTAAAAGATTTTTTTTTGTAGAGACAGGTTGTTGCTTTGTTGTCCAGGATGGTCTCAAACTCCTGGGCTTCAAGTGATCCTCCTGGCTTGGCCTTCCAAAGTGCTGGGATTAAGTGTGAGCCACTGTACCTGGCCAACAGCACCATTTTTAATGACAGCCTCATTTTTAATTATTTCTGGTTTTAATTTGACCTATTTAAAATTTGAAACATGCATGGAATTATGTTGCCTGAATATCTGTTTAACCCGTCCTCAATTTTTAGACACTTGTTTTCAGTATTTTTCTATTGATATTATTATGAGTATCACTATAGATAAGTGTTTTCATATACCAGTGAGTATTTTTTTGAAATAAATTCTTATATGTTTATAGTGTCACAATACATATACAATTTTTTGTTTGTTTGTTTGTTTTTAAGACGGAGTCACATTCTGTCACCCAGGCTGGAGTGCAGTGGCGCGATCTCAGCTCACTGCAACATCCGCCTCCCGGTTTCAAGCAATTCTCCTGCCTCACCCTCCTAAGTAGCTGGGACTACGGGCGTGAGTCACTGCGCCTAGCTAATTTTTGTATTTTTAGTAGAGACAGGGTTTCACCATGTTGGCCAGGCTGGTCTCAAACGCCTGACCCCAGGTGATCTGCGTGCCTCGGCCTCCCAAAGTGCTGGGATTACAGGCGTGAGGTGTGATTGTATATGTAGGCACCCAGCCCTACATGCACAATTTTAAGGCCTTTGCCAAGTGGCTTTCCAGAAGTCTGTCATTTTCAATTCTCACAGCAGTGTGTGAATAAGCATATCCATCTATGTGAATAAGTGTATCCAGCACTACACCTTATCATTTTAAAATATTTTGTTTGATGCAAAAAAAAAAGTTATTTTGATGTACATTTTCTTCATTGTTAGTGAGATTAAACTTTCTTAGGTTTTTTAAAGAACTCCAAGATGGTTGTGTTCATATTTATGTCTATTAAATATTTATTTAATTTTTTCTGTAAGCAATCAGATAACCAGATTTAGTGAGAATTGTACATCAATAGAGTCATTGAGATTCTGGGTAGATTCTAATGTGAGGTTCACTGCATCTGTGTTTTGGGTGCTATGAGTAAAAACCCCTTTTCAGATAGGAGCACTCAAACATCAAAGGCAAGGTGGGTATAGTTAGCGTAATGGACAGAAAGTCAAGGCAACAATTGGAATAATCTACGTTATTCAGTCATATGGTGTTTGCTAGTTGATAATGGTGTTGTCTAGAAGTGAAATAGATAGCAAGCCTGCTAAAATCTTACTTGATTTGTATAAGCAGAAAGTTCTGTCAAGTGAATAAAAGTTGAGCTTGAATCATAAAAACAGAGAGTCCTGGCCCCTCAATTCTCACACTTGAGCCTTTGTAGACCCAGGAACCCTTGAATGAAAGAAAGGGCAGATGCCCTCAATGAAAAACCCTAGTATGCTACCTAAAATTTATACTGTTAATCTTTCTCCCAGCCTTCCACAAAGGGAACCATGGCCTTTCTCAGGGTAACAGTTACCCATGTGCACTGGGGAAAAGGAAATAATCACCCCTTTTGGGACTGCTGGACACTGGTTCTAAATGAACACCAATTCTAGAAGACCCAAGACATCACTGTGGCCCTCCAGTTAGAGTAGGGGATGGGGTCAGGTGATCAACAGAGTTTTAGCTCAGGTCCATCTCACAGTGGGTCCAGTGGATCCCTGAATACTTCCTGTGATTATTTCCCAAATTCCAGAGTGCTTAACTCAAATTAACACACTTAGCAGCTGACAGAATCCCCTGGTTAGTTCCCCAACATGTGAATTGAAGCTATTTTGGTAGAAAAGGCCAAGTGGAAGCCATTAGAGCTGCCTTTATCTGCGAAAATAGTACATCAAAACCAAAAACAAACCAGAAGTCTTTTTCATTGACTTACAGGTTTGTAGCTATTCAGTAGAATTGAGGAAACCCAGTGACTAATTTCTATCTCAGTGCACTATGCCTGTGATGTGACAAACTTTTATAATCTTCCATATGTGTGAGCAGAATCTCTGGGCATTATTTTCTAAAAAGACACAGAAGCTTCAGAACTATCTCCTTGTAGTGACCAATGCTTTGTCTTCTGAAACTAAGTAGTTTTGGGAAAATGTTTACTGAATATTAATTTTACCAGTATGTTTAATATTTAGTTTGGAATATCATAATTTGGAGTCAACAGGCCCACAATAAAATTATTAGTGTATTGGGGAGAGTCTTAATTTTCTTTTTTGTTTCTAGAAACCACCAAGTTTTACATGACAGAGATAATCATTCAGTCATCTGAGAGGAGTTTCCCCATCATACCAAGGTACAAATAGCAAATTACATTTATTTGTAATTTCTTTTTTTCCCCTATTCAGACCTTTTTTTTATTTTTGATTTTTTGGTTTTGAATTTATTTTTTATTTTAATAGGTTTCTGGGAACAGATGATGTTTACTTACATGAATAGTGATGATTCTGAGATTTGGGTGCACCCATCACCCAATCAGTCAGTGTTCACTGTACTCAGTGTGTAGTCTTTTATCTCTTACCTCTCCCCCCGTCTTTTCCCCAAGTCCTCAAAGTCCATTGTATTATTCTTATGCCTTTGCATCCTCATAACTTAGTTCCCACTTATTAAGGAGAGCATACAATGTTTGGTTTTCCATTCCTGAGTTATTTCAGTTAGAATAATAGTCTCCAATTACGTCCAGGATGCTGTGATGGCCATTATTTCATTCCGTTTTGTGGCTAAGTAGTATTGCATGGTATATATTTGTAATTCCAAATTTAGGAAAAAGGAAGTACAATTGATGATATGGGAATTCATTTTTATTCATACCTTTCTTTATTTGGAAAAGGAAAGAGAAAGCCTTTTAGATAGTCGAACCAAACCACACATATAAAAGATTTGAGGATTTAAAAAAATGTTTTGATCCATATAGTGCTGTAGACAAATGTGCTCTTATAAATCTTCTAATTCTGAAAGTTTTCTATGCTTATTTCTATGTGCCAGATATCTAGAATTTTATCACCTGGTCACCAATAAGTTTTTTGAATAGTTTCTGGTTTTAATTTGAATTATTTAAAATTTGAAACATAGGTCAGTTTCAAATGACCTCTGTGTTTTAAAAGCATGGTACTTAGCCCCTAAATCTTTAGTGTTTTTATTTCTTTGAATCTTTTTAGTTTGCAAACAAGTTAACCATGATATGCCTTTATTCCTGTTTATTTGTTGATATCCTAAAATTGTGGCAGTCTGAGTATAGCCTTGAACTTTATCATTATGTAAATACTTGGATTCTGTACCTCAGAGCTGACACTTTAGGGACATCCAAATGGAAGAAAATGTAGACAATACTGTCTGATGTTTGGAAGGAAATTTCTTGCCTTCTTTTGTAAGTTAGTTATTCTCTGTTTAATATGCTACAGCACAAATGGAGTATTGACTTGTTCTAACATGGTATTTTTTTATTCAGTAGGGGTGAATAGTTAGATTTGGTGTGGAAAGTGTATTAAGGATTGGAGAATAGATTTGAAGAAGAATGGAGCAAACCTGAATACATTAAACTATATTAAAATCCACATCAGTGTGGATTGTGAGGGAATGAGCAGTACATAGAAAAGTCTGGAATGTGGATGTCTCTGCCTTTTAGGTACCCTGTGGGTATTTTTTGCTTATCTTGCCAGTTAGAGTTATTAGGAGACACACATTGTGAAAATTGATTTCTGTTCAAACAGGTCTCGGTTTGTCCAGAGCGTGATCACCCAGTGTCTGGTGCAGCTCTCGTCTGCTAGAAGTACTTTTAGATTCAGGATTCAAGGTCAGGACGACAAAGTGTATATCTTGGTAAGAAATTATTTTATCCCGCTTTTGTAGCCTAGGAATCCAAGGTCTCAGAATTCTTTAGTTTTTTCATTCTTTTTTCTTAATTCTCAGGTGTGGAAAATAAGTGATTAAAAATGTTAATATCAGGCTGGGCATGGTGACTTATGCCTGTAATCCCAGCCCTTTGGGAAGCCAAGGTGGGTGGATCACTTGAGGTCAGGAGTTCGAGACCAGCCTGGCCAACATGGGGAAACCCCATCTCTACTGAAAATACAAAAATTAGCCTGGTGGATGGCCCATGCCTGTAGTCCCAGCTACTCAGGAAGCTGATGCAGGAGAATCGCTCGAAGTCGGGAGGTAGAGGTTTCAGTGAGCCAAGATGGTGCCACTGCACTTAAGCCTGGGTGACAGAGCAAGACTCCATCTTTTAAAAAAAAAAAGTTAATATCAGTTTAATTCATAAATCAAACTCCCTTAATTTAATAGCAGATGATCAAGTGCCTCTATGTACTAGGTACTAGGGATACAGAGAAAATTCCTGATTCCTGCTATTTAGAAGCTCATACCACAAAATCAGGGGTTTTTTTTCTTTGTTTTGAGATGGAGTCTCGCTCTGTTCCCCAGGCTGGAGTGCAGTGGCACGATCTTGGCTCACTGCAAGCTCAGCCTCCTGGGTTCACGCCATTCTCCTGCCTCAGCCTCCCGAGTAGCTGGTACTACAGGCACCTGTCACCACACCCAGTTAATTTTTTTGTAGAGATGGGGTTTCACCATGTTAGCCAGGATGGTCTCGATCTTCTGACCTCATTATCCACCTGCCTCGGCCTCCCAAAGTGCTGGGATTACAGGCATGAACCACTGCGCCTGGCCAAAATCAGATTTTTTACTCTCAGTTTGTAATGGCTTTTTTTTTGGTCACTATAACACTATTCTGTCTCGCTTTTTTTTTTTTCTATTTCGTACTCTTATGTTTAGAATATGTCGTATTGCTCCTGTTTGTTTTTTGTTTTTTTGAGATAAGGTCTTACTCTGTCACACAGGCTGGAGTGCAGTGGCAGGATTATGGCTCACCACAGCCTCGACTTCCCAGGCTAAAGTGATCCTCCCACCTCAGCCTTCTAAATAGCTGAGACTCCAGGCCTACTCCACCATTCCCAAACAATTTTTTAATTTTGGAGATGAGGTCTTGCTATGTTTCCCAGGCTGGTCTTGAACTCCTGGGCTGAGGTAATCCTCCCACTTTGGCCTCCCAAACTGTTGGGATTATAGTGGGATTACAGGCATGAGCCACCATACCTGGCTGCCTTTTGTTGTTTTTAGTTGCTCTGATTCTGTGATATTTGAGAAATAGTGGCAATTTTTGAGGAAGAGGCTTTGTGGCTAACAATCATCCCAGCATGTACCACTAGAGCCTCATATTACACTGCCTCTATTAAAAATAGTGTCCTTCAGGAACAAATTTTGGGCATTTTTCTGGATAACCAAGAATCACAGCCCAAATATCCTCTCTACTTCTACATCTATTTTATTCAGCCAGTAAACATATATGGAGCACTTCTTATATGAAAGACACTGTTCCAGGTGCTCAAGGTAGAACCCAAATGCCTTTATGAAACTAAAAAGCTAATACGGAAACATAGTAACCAAAAGGAGGGAAGGGCCTGAGGTTGCTGTTAGGTGTGACTCTGTAGCTGGCCATCCATTATGAGGACCCTATGCTCTTCTAATTGCAGATAATTTCTATGAAAACCTAAAATATTTTCTGACTGATTTTGATACTAAATATACCTCACAGTTATCTGAAATCAGTTTTACTTTTTCTTTTATTCTAAGATTTCAAATTGAAAATCAGGAGTAGGAACTTCTGAAACTTTCTAACATATATTTAGATTTTTCTTTTTTATAAAATATTCTTGAAACACAATCAGGGACCATGAAGAACATAAAATGTTCCTTTTCCTGCCTTGCTATACCATACTATTCAGGGGGCAATCAGTAATAACAGTCTGATATGTGTACTTCATTATTTTTATTCTTTCCATATACAACTATATATATGTACACTCACAGGTGTTTATTTGTAAAAAAAAAAAAAAAAAAAAACAAACAAAAAAACCAGTATCACATGATTAGTGTTTTTCTGCAACCTGCTTGCTTCATGGTATGTATCTTGAGGATTGTTTTTGTTAGTTTAAATATAGGTCTGGCTCTTTAATGATTGAAATTTTGCTGTATGGCTGATAAGACTGAACTGCAATGAAAATAATCTTTGCCTGTATCTTTTAGTACTTCTTTATAAATGGATCTTTCTAATGTAATATAGTATTAGAATTTGTGTATTTGAAACTCAGATAATTATCACCTTGCAAAAAAAGTTGTACTAATTTATCTTTTATAGTAGGCATTCTTGGTGTGCCACCCAGACCCCATACTGGGTTGATGCACCCATTCTCAGCTGCTGACAGTGTTGGCTAATAATGGCTCACAGCTGCCCCCTTCTCCAGAGACTTCCTTTTCAGATGACAGGGGTTGCCTTGCCCAGAAGTTACCTGTCCGCCACAATCCCTTCTCCCTGACTTACCCCTTCTTGGTCAGCCCACTGCCAGTGATTTGATCCTGGGGCACAGAAAGCTAGGGACTCTTGTCTCAAGGTAGAACAAACTCTATAGGTGGGATTCATGCTGTAGAACTCCCCCATGGATCAGGCCAAAACCAGACTCCAGATGATTCTGTATCCTTAATTAGCTCTTTCCCCTTCCTTATCCCATTTCCTTCACTTTTCTCCTGTGAGTTCTCTCTCAGTGAATCACATGCATCCAAATCCCAAAACACTTTACCACCAGCAGTGTATTGGAATGCCCACTTCAAACCCCTTTTCTGAACTAGATGTTATCAATCCTTTTATATTTGCCAATCTGATCAATGAAAAATGGTGGCACAAAATTTCACATCTATTAGTTACATTAAGATTCTAATACATGTTTATGTATCTTTTATTTCTTCTGTTAATTCTGTTCATATTCTTTGCCTGTATTTCTCTCGGGCTGTTTTACCTCCTTACTGAAGCTCTGTATATTATAGATAATAACGTTGTTACTTATGCATATTTTCTCTGAGTCAGTTGTCTTTTTTTTCTTTTTAACTTTATGTCAATTGCTCTACCAAGTGTTATATTTTGAAAGGCCTACCTAGCTTTAAAATTATGTACATGATTCTCATATTTATTTTTTCTGGGATTTTCATAGTCTCTTTTTTGTTTTTGAAAAGTCACAAGATATGGATAAGGTGACAATATTCTTATACTTGGACTTTCTCTTCACATCTTTAGCTGTGGCTTTTAAATTCAGACAGTTTGGTGATTGAATCATTGAGAAATTCTAAATATATCAAAAAATTTCCATTGTTGGAAGACACATTGAAAGCAGATTCTAGTTCTGCCTGGAGTGCTATCAAGGTCCTCTACCAGCCATGCATCAAAGGCAGGAATGAAAAGTAAGTTGTGCATTTGTTTTCTCATCTACATTATATTTTATCTTTTGTTGTCATGTTGGTATTAAGAAATTAATGAATTAAATGCCACTATACCCCTTCCCTGCTTGAAGCTTCTAGGAGCCATACTGCTAAATATTATATGTTTAAAATAGGTTGAATTATTACAGATGATTCATGCTAATATGCAGAAAGCTTGCTTTTACCAAAAATTATTTTTTTTTCTTGTAATCTAAGCTGTCTGTACATATGGCTGCAGTACTAAATCCGACTTCAACAGTGATGAATATTTACCAATAAGCACTTTCCAGGCATCAGGATACAATAATGAACAAAACACAGCCCCTACCTCTTAGCATTGTTGTTCTAATGGGGGAAGGCAGACCATAAACAAAACAGATTCTTATGTCTCTTACTATGTGTCAGGCACTCATCTAAGAACTCATAGGTCATTTAAGCCTAACAACAACCTGTGTGGTAGGTACTATTATCATCCCCACTTTAAAGATAAGCACACTAAGATACTGGTAGTAAATTACTCTAGTGAAAAATGAAACAAGGTAAGGTAGTTGGCAAGGGGTAGGATGGGAGTAGGATGTTGTCATTTTACATTGCAAAGTCAGGAAAGATTCCTTAGATAAAGTGATATTTAAGCAGATAACTTGAAGGAAGTGAAGTGCTGAGCCATGTCTGATGGAAGATCATTCCCAGAAAAGGAAACAGCAGGTATTCTTATTGTAACAGAATCAAAGTTTGTACTTGTCCTGTACTCTCAGATGGGTTTGATCAAATTTGTCCTAAGAACGGAAGGATCTTAGTCTTTTTCTGGAAAGTAAATAAGACATTGAAAAAATTAATTACGTTTCTTATGCAAGTAGTACCAGTCATAAAAGATCCAAACACTAAGAGACATATGTAAGGTAAAATTATATCCCTCTCCAGAAGTAAAACGTTTGTTGTGTACTCTTCCACTTCTTTTTCCATTCATTTTGCACCTAAACATGTGTATTTTTTTACACTTAAGCCCATGTCTTAGAGATTCTTTCCATGTCAGTGCTTGACATTTTATGAAATGGAGGTACTATAAATTACTTAGCCATTTTTCTTTTAATGGATGTTTGGTTTATTACTTTTTTGCTGTTATAATTAGTGTTGTAATCTTGTATATTTGTTTTCTGATTATAAGTTTTCTATATTAGAGGAATTTCTAGAGGTACAATTGTTGAGTCAAAGGGTATGGACATTTAACATTTTGAGAGGTAATATCAAATTATTTTGTAAAAAGGTGTCATGAATTTATACTCCCACCTGAAGTTTTTATAAATGTCCATTACCCTGAATTCTCACTGAAATTTCCATTTAGATTTTTGCCTATCTGATGTGATTCTAAAGGAAACAGGTACTTGACACTATCCTTATATTTTATTGAGGCATGTTCAATGGATGCATCTCAGTTTTATGCTTTTGAGACTCTTTTTGAGGGCTTGGATTTTTTTTTTTTTTTTTTTTTTTTTTTGGTGCCCTTATACGTAGTCAACTATTAAGCTCTGCATTGATTATATTTTCTTTTGGGGTGTGTGTGTGTGTGTGTGTGTGTGTGTGTGTATCTTTATATATTTAGGTTTATATCATCAAATTTATTAAAACCCTTTATATTCATCTTTTCTATTTATTGAAATGTGGACTTTTGTGACAGGTATGTTGAATCTTACATTATGATTATGTAAGTAATTTTCTTCTGTTCTGATTCTAGTTTTCACATTATATATTTTAAAGCTGTATTGTTAGAGAAATAAAAGCATGACAACTAATTGAGTATACTATCAATAGGAGATTTTGCTCTTCTTCAATTTAATTCTAGTTTTTGTTTCATTCTAATTTGCTGTGATGGTTAATAGTAAGTGTCAACTTGATTAGATTGAAAGATGCAAAGTATTGGTCCTAGGTGTGTCTGTGAGGGTGTTGCCAAAGGAGATTAACATTTGAGTCAGTGGGCTGGGGAAAGGCAGACCCACCCTTAATCTGGGTGGCCACCATCTAATCAGCTGCCAGCATGGCTGGAATATAAAGCAGGCAGAAAAACATGAAAAGACTAGACTGGCTTAGCCTCCCAGCCTACATCTTTCTCCAGTGCTAGATGCTTCTTGCCCTTGAACATTGGACTCCAAGTTCTTCAGCTTTGGGATTAGGACTGGCTTCCTTGCTCCTCAGCTTATAGATGGCCTATTGTGGGACCTTGAGATTGTGTGAGTTAATATGATCATATATGTGTGTGTGTGTGTGTATATGTATATATATCTTCATATATATGAAGATTTATATATTTATATATGAAGATATATATATATGGCTTTTTATATATGAAGAATTAAATATATGTATAAAAAGATTTACATATATATGTCTATATATCCTATTAGTTCCGTCCCTCTAGAAAGCCCTGACTAATACGGATTTTGATACCAGGAGTGGTTCTAGAGGAACAGAATATTAAGGATAGAGTTCTTTCATTGGTTTTGAGGTTTCTGGAGTTGGCTGCTTAATGTGATTACATCCAAAAATGCTAAGGTCTCTACTTCTGATAACATGGAGAACACTGATAGTCCTTGGCATGAACTGTTAACAGAGTTATGCACAGTAAATACATTTGACACTCCTGATTCACTGCTCATGAGAGGCAAGGAGTTTAGTGACTCTATGCATAATGCCTTTGACTATATTAAGGAACATAATGAAGTTGGTTGGTTGCTCCTAAGTTCACTGGACAAAGTGATGAAAGAAAATAATGAACTCAGGGATTCTAACTCCCAGCTTCAGAAACAGATATGGAGCCTCAAATCGGCTAAGATTGCCTTGAGTGAGAATCTTATCTCCTGTAGAGAAAGTTGAAATTGTGGAAAATCAGACACAAGTTTATCATGTGAGTGACTGACCTGCAATGAAAAGTGTATGCACAGCCTCACCAGGTGTCTACTGTTAAAGTGAGGGGATTAATCGGGAAAAAATGGGACCCTGAAACTTGGAATGGGGATATGTGGGAGGACCCTGATGAAATTGGGGATACTGAGCTTATAAACTCTAAGGAACCTTTCTTGCCAGAAGAAACAGCTTCCCCATCCCCAGTAGTGGCAACATCCCCTTTCCAACCCATGCTGCCATCAGCATTTCCACCTTTGCTGAGGAGATAAACCCTGTACTGCCTGAGGCAATAGCGATGGCCTCCCCAGAGGCAGTTTCCAAGCAAGATAATGTTGATTCCCCTCAGGAGCCACCCCCAAAACCTCTGTTTGCTTCTAGACCTATAACTAGACTAAAGTCTCGGTGGACCCCTAGAGGTGAGGTTGAGAGTGAGACCCATGAAGAGGTGCACTACAAGCGAAAAGATCTGCTTGAGTTTTCTAATGCATATAAACAGAAATCTGGAAAACAGGCGTGGGAATGGATATTAAGGGTGTGGGATAATGGTGGAAGGAATATAGAGTTGGATTAGACTGAATTTATTGATTTGGGCCCACTAATTAGGGATTCTTCATTTAATATTGCAGCTTGGGGAGTTACAAAAGGTTCTAATAGTTTATTTGCTTGGTTAGCTGAAAGATGGATTAAAAATGGCCCACTGTGAGTGAGCTGGAAATGCCTGATCTCTCTTCATTTAATGTAGAGGAAGGGATGGTGGAGTGGATTAGTCTCTTTAGATCTACTCATCCCAGCTGGGAGGGTCCAGAAGATATACCCTTGACCAATGCTTTGTGAAATAGATTTGTGAAGGCAGCACCTTCATCTTTGAAGAGCCCTGTAATTGCCCTTCTCTGTATGTCAGATCTAACAGTGGGAACTGCAGTCACTCAACTACAGAATTTAAATACAATTGGAATAATTGGATCCCGAGGTGGCAGGGGCCAAGTGGTGGCACTCAGCTGTCAAAGGCAAGCTGGGCATAGCTACTGTGATGGACAGAAGAGGCAAAGCAGCAATCAGAATAATCTGACTCCTGTCGAACTCTGGCATTGGCTAATTACAATGTTCCTAGAAGTGATAGGAAGCCTACTGCATTCCTACTTAATTTATATAAGCAGAGAACTTCCTGACTAATTTGAATTATAAAAGCAGAGAATCACAGTCCCTCAATCAATTTCCAGACTTGAGCCAGTTCACATACCCAGAACCCCTTGAATGAAAGGGAGACCAAGTCCCCTTGAGGAAGGACCACTCTACACTACTGACAGTTTATGCTGTGAATCTTTCTCCCATCCTTCCCCAAGGAGACCTCCAGCCTTTTACCAGGCTAACTGTTCATTGGGCATAGGGAAATGATCAGACATTTCAGGGACTACTGGACACTGGCTCTAAGCTAACGCTGAGTCCAGGGGACCCAAAATGTCATTGTGGTCCTCCAGTTAAAATAGGGGCTTATGGAGGTCAGGTAATTGATGGAGTTTTAGCTCAGGTCTGACTTACAGTGGGTCCATTGTGTCCCTGGACTTATCCTGTGGTCATTTCCCCAGTGCCAGAATGCATGATTGACATAGACATACTTAACAACTGGTAGAACCCCCACATTGGCTCCCTGACTGTAGGTTGAGAGCCATAATGGTGGGAAAGGCCAAATGGAAACCATTAGAGCTGCCTCCACCTAGAAAAACAGTAAATCAAAACCAATGTCGCATCCCTGGAGGGACTGCTGAAATTAGTGCCACCATCAAGGACTTGAAAGACGCAGGGGTGGTGATTCCTACCATATCCCTGTTCAACTCTCTTATTTGGCCTGTGCAGAAGACAGATAGCTCTTAGAGAATGACAATGGATTATCGTAAGTGTAACAAAGTGGTGACTCCGATTGCAATTGCAGTACCAGATGTGGTTTCATTGCTTGAGCAAAGTAACACATCTCCTGGTACTTGGTATGCAGCCACTGATTTGGCAAATGCCTTTTTCTCCACTCCTGTCCGTAAGGCCCACCAGAAGCAATTTGTCTTCAGCGGACAAGGCCAGCAATATGCCTT